TTATGGAACATTTGTATTAACATCTCAAATTACTACGACCTGAAATAACAGCAAAAACAATGAAATTATCTAACCCGTCCTAATGAAGTAATTGTAAAATATGAAAAATATAAATCAAATTATGCAGACAAATAATGAAAATTTTTTTCTAGTAATTTCATATGACAATCTACAACTACAAGCTATCCATTCTACGATCTATTATTGCATCGTACGAAATTATTATGGGAATTTATCATTCATGTACGAACAATTACGTCTAGATAATAACTGCTACCAATAAACATTTTAATAGGTAGTAATTGCTTGTGAACGTATTTGAGCTATTGATACCAAATAAGTGTATATTGTAAAATATCTATAAAACAAATGAATCTGGTTAATGACTAACGTGTCGGTGCGTATATTTTAAAGCCATTAGAATAGTCCCAAAATTTATGGTCACGTTGTACGAGGTTCTTCAATACAGAGTCTTTGGTAAATTGTATGAGCATAATATAGCTATAAGTTTTTTTGTGCGAGAAAGAGGCAAGGGGGCCGTCGGTTCCCTTTTTTGCAGTTTATCACCTTATAATAAAGTGGGTGCGGCTAACTCACTCAACAGACGAAACACAGAAGTATAACACTTCCACTTCACGCCGGCCTGTGAGATCGTGGTGCGTCCCCGGATGGACCTGCCCATTCATGCAACAACGAAGTCTTACGTGGCCCTACCACACTCAAAATAGAATGTCACTATAAAGTAAAATGAAATCTTGTAGTCTATTAGAATGGTCTATTTGATAGTTTTGACATTAGACTATATTTATAAATAAGTCTCTCATAAAACAATGATGATCTAGACTGCGACATCAGACGGCTGCGAACTTAAATTCGCAAATCCAATTCAAAGCGATGAGCTCTCCGTTGTTCTGATTTTTGAGTGCAAAAGTGACTGTCACATTTGTGGCCGGGTTTTCCTTGGTTTTATGAAAAGGTTGGCTAACGAGCAAGCGTCCAGAAATACCGCGTTTCAAGAAACTAAATTATAGGATAACGAAAGTCAACTGTCACGTTCGGAAATAAACAGGATCCGTTTTAAGTAGATAGTAGTCCCACTTTGGCCCGTTAGGATGTAGAACTGGGTTTACATAATGTACAGAACAGCACCAAATAAGAATATAAAAATTGACTTTTCTCTGGCCGATAAACTAGAGGCGTACACGTATGACGTATACGAGGATGCCGACATGACCTCTATAGAAGGATATGTAGAACTGTAGAAAGTATGGTGAGAAAAAAACCTGTTGCTCTGAATTCATATTTAAAAACGCTTACATAAGCCTAAGTATTTCTCGATAAAAAAAAAAAAAAAAATTTTGTCGAAGTCATTAGTCGCAGAACATCAGCTGTTGGATATTTTGAATAATAAACAAATTAACCAAATTTAAGTATAACTTTACTGTTTACTTTACACATTTAACAAATTATTTTTGTAACAGAGTTTTGATGATACGACGCAGTTTCATAGCGATAGACTTCAAGGGAGCGGGTCGCGGCTTGAATTTCAGCCGGGTAAGTCATAGTATTATTTATTAAATTATTGTATTATTATATTAAGTAGTACTTTGTATGACCTTTAATTTGGATATGAAGGTTTGTCCGGGTTTTATTCGTCTTTCTAAAACGCAAAACACTGTACAGGGTCATCCGACAAAAGTGATTAAGCTTTAAAGCAGTGGAAAAGATGTGCTAACGAGTTAAAAATAAGAAATACGTAAATAATCTTCAGCAAAATAGATAGAGCAAAATAGAGAAACAAAATATTTGTTTCCTCATAAAGATGTATAATGAATATAGTAAGCCCATAGTTGATAGTTGATCAGGATTGCAGCAACCTGTATAGTGGTGGTGGTACGTTCTTGCGGCGTCACTTTCCTTCAGATACAAGGCATTCGCGCTCGAAAGTAACTGACTTATTAAGTTCAGTTCATTATATAAGTTTAATTTTTTACGTAAAAGTGAAGTGCTTTGTGCGTTTTTATTTTATTGCAGTAAGTCTTAAAAATATTTGTTTCTTTAGTCTCACATAGGATTACGACAAAGTTTCATGATTAAAAAAGAGTAAAATATATTTATCGAGATAACTTACAATTTTCTGTAAAACGAGACTAAGAACAAGAAAAAGATTTTTTTATGATTTATTTTTATTTTATATATTGTCTTTTTTTATTTACACTTTCTATGTCAATGCTTTAAATTTTACAACAATATGCCAAAACTTTTATTATTTTTAGTTTCATTACTTTAACATGTCCTCAATTACACTGACGGTACAAATTCAAACTTAACGATGTTTTAAATAACCCTTTCAATTTATTGTAGCCTTTACGTGATACTAGTTAAAAGCTTACAATAAGGTAATGCTAACAATAAGGTAATGTTAACAATAACGTAATGCAAGCAATGAGAGTGCTAATATATATTTACCAGCATAAATATATTCAATATCTTAACGTTATTTCATATTAACACACGTGGTTCTGGTATTATTATGTTTTGTTTTCCAAACGTACCTACGTAAATGTGAACACGCAGTGAACCCAGAACATTTTAATTTTTAGGTCACGGTACAGTTCATAGCCGAAAATGAAACATCCCCTTTGAACCGCAAAGTCTACCTCTTGTACACAATTTACAACGATACATTACATTAGGAGGTGCATTGAAATTTATTAAGTACGATAAAATTTTCATTTCAAATATCATCTTACGCCCACCAAATAAACACAACTATTATAAGTCTAAACCCTATATTATGCGTTTCGTGTGTAATATATATTTATTACATCGCAAATTATAATTTTCCTTGCTATACATGAATAAAGTCAATAGTACCAATTAAATAACAACAAATACACATACCTACATATTAATGAAATAAAAAAAAATTAGGTACAAGTTTTAATCGCATCTAATTTTATATTTTACCCTCACCATTTCGGATGCTTTACATTACCCACAGCCATGCTACGAAGAGAACATCTTGTGAATGTGGAGATAAAGCGTGTAACGTGTAATAATAAAACAATTAATATGTATGTTATAATGTTATTTTATCTTTAGTATTACGTCTGTAGAGTGAAGTAAACGGGTCCACTGTCTTAAATGTTAGCAACGTTACTGCACACTGCAACAAAAGAATTGAAAAGTGGATGTCCATTTGCAGCGCCAAGCACTTAACATCGGATGAAGAGCCTGTTCACTTGCAACTTTATTCCATGAAAATGAAATCCATTCGTCCCTCGCATCCTACGCTACAGACCTTGATGCGTGAAGGTTTAACACCATCTTCCGCCCGCCCCAATTCCTACACAACATTGCACATCGGCAATCACACGGCCTCCGTTTCGTAAACAACATTGCGTCGTAATAACATGGCTGAGAATATTCTCGAAGCTATTTTGGACAGGGCATTTGAAAGCAAAGACCGCTCGAGTGTCTCGACCTTGGTCATTGTCTAACGATAGCTATGTGAACACGTTTGTTTTCGTCCGTCATTACCTTCAGCGTGTCGATAACGCCTAAGATATTTACCTGTCCTTGTAAATATTCGAAAACCTACTGTAATCATTACTTAACTTGCTCTTCATTGTATTGTGGTTGACAACACCCGCTGGCTTTGCGCTGAAAAGATTCCGAATATTATCAGTAACGAATAATTGACATAATTCCAATTGCAGAATAGCGTGAGGCCTTAGCGATAGTATCTAAAAGTCCAATGGACATTTCCACCTGGGTCGCGAAACTAGGTCAAAAGTCGATTAGATACTGACGCGTAATTCTTACTTAATTCAACGCATCATCGGACGCAACCAGTTCAGTACCACTCCTATAGTTATATGTGGACTTAACTTTTACTAATTTGAAAATATTATGTAAACAAATATTAACTAAATCCACTCCCACGGTCCTCGTAAAATTAAGTTTAACTATAAATCACTTGTTAATTTCTTATATTTTATTTCTCGCTGTATTTTTAAGTTTTGTTTAACATACTTTAAATTATCATACGATGATAAAAATAAAGTTTACATTACAATTAAGTTTACATTATATATTCTATGGCTAATGGATCGTTAATAATTTACACGTTATACCAAACATTAAACGTATCAATATATCACTTTTATTTGAAGGTATCAACCAAATATAATTTTACAGCTGTTTGGTACTACATAAGAGATAAAGTGACAGCCTATATATGTCCCACAGTTGGCCAAAGGCCGCCTCTGTACAGAGGATATTAGGGCATAGTCCACCAAGCAGCAGCACTGCGCATTCACATATTTGCGAAATATACTTTTTTGTTATTATTTCGCAAGTATGCAGGTTTCCTCACTATTAGAGCGGCACTTATTACGTGCTTAGCGGCGAAGAAAAACTTCCTCACCACTGAGCATGATATTTCGTTGGTGCCGGCACCGGGGATAGAACTTAGGTTTCTCAAGTATAGTGAATTAAAGGTGAGCGCCCGGACACTGCGCTATCACGGCTCACAAGAAATATGAAACAACAAAATAACTATTTTGCATTAACAATAAGTTTGCATTAATATCCCTTGCCCGGAGACAACCGTTGCCGACCAAAAAAGAAGTTAGTCATTGCGGCCATGTGCATGGCATTCGTCTTATCTAGTATGCTAACGAGAGTTTTACCTCACTCCAAAAGAATTAGAGTAGAAATAGCTAGATATCTGGTGTCTTGCAGTCTTTTCTACAAATATAACACGACAACCGAGCAAACATCAACGGTTTTAAGAGCTCTCAGACAATCGTTGCTCGAAAAACGGACAGTATTTACACTGGGCAGTCTACTTTCGCTTTCAAACTAACCTAGAAAGGTGCCCTACGTCTCGTACACTCTACAGCAATTCTGACTAAGCGACGCCATATTATCTTTTTGAAAAATGAACTTTGAACAACTACCACCAACCAATTCTATTGTTTTCAGCTGTCAACATGAAAGCCGTAATTGTTTTACTCATAAGCTGCGCATGCTTTGTGGACTGCATTCCACCACCACACCCTGCTGTGGTTGCAGTCAGGCAAGAAGAAGAACTCCTTCCGGTTCATTTACGAAGCCCGGCACTGCATAATCCCCATCTGCAGGAATTACTGCAATTGACCAGTGTACTGCACAGTGGAGAGAAACCGGTACGAGAATTTTTGTTTAGAAAAGATGGACAGCATAATTTAGTTCATTTTATTGTAAATGGAGAAATCTCTTTGTTATTCTCTTTTTATTACGTATTTATAGTATTTATGAAAATTTTATCCCTCGTGGGGGAACCAAATAACAAGACATTTGAAGTTTAGCAGAAATAAATATACATAAAAATAATTTTGAGCCCATTTTTTGCGATAATTTGAGGTTGGTTGCTGCAAATACTCGTATTTAAATTTCTCATGACATTCAAACTATTACAAAAAACTATGAATACATAAAACGCGTTAAATCAAGGTTATATAGAATTACGTTTTTTAAATGTTAATTATAATAAAATTTTGCAATATTGCACATATTGCAAATTTTTTTAATACTTCGAGAACGTCTTAGCTACAAGTCATAGTATAGCAGATTATGACTTGATGATCAAGTTCTTAAATTAAAACACGCTATTGGTTACTGTCGGAAGGTAAAGTTTTTACGAAATTGCACAATCCTTTAATCTCGATATTTAATGTTAGGTCAACCTAATGAGTAACATAAAATTATTATAAATAGAGACACATTTTCAATGCCTAACTTTAAGATCATTAAGATATATACTGTATATATTATTTCAAAGTCGTTTAATCGCAATTTGATTAAATCAGCCGCATGATTCGTTCTTTATCGTCTTATTTCTTGTCTTTTATCTTCTCTCTTCTTTATCGTCCAAAATTCTAATGTAATCAATAAGATCAGCACAGTCTTTCAGTGGACTCTGTTGTTTTGATGACTCCTTGGCGCAGTTACCAAGGCACTGGCTTCGGCGTCGGGTTGCGTGGGTTTGATTGCCACATGAGAACAACAACTATTTGTGTGACCCTTTACTTTATTAAAAGATAGCAATGCATCTGCAACGTCCGGGTGTTTCAAATATCCATGGGTGGCGGTTAACACTTAACATCCGGTGAACCATCAGCTCGCTTGTCACCTTTTCACATAAAAAAAAGAAAACCAAAACGAGAAACGAGAAAACTATTGATTTCTGGTGTTATTCTACCGGCAGGTTTACCAACGGGAGGCGGATTTGGTCTCGCGCAGGGAAATATACAACATCCTAACTCATGCAGGACTAGTTCACCGCCAGCCAGGTCTTCCACCACCAACGTACCATCGACCACGTCAACACAAATCCTCGGCTTCCCAACAAATCACTAGTCCCCAACACTTCGATGTTCCGTTTTTATCAAACGCAGATTTATTACAATATTTATAATTTAAGTTTCATAATTTCATTCGTCCATATCTAACCAAATATTTATAGCATTAGCTACTTTACATTTAAGGTACTTTATAAGGTAAGCACGTCATAAGTCCCTTTTTCTTTGCTGCATATCTCATTCGTCCTATAAACAGGTTCTTAAATAATATATATATATATATATATAATATCGAACTCTATGTATAAAATAATTTCTGTACCGAATGAGTTCTTCTAACAATTAGCATTACTAAATGACCCACTGTATACGTAGATTCATCTTATGCATCATGTGTATACTAAAGTACATAAACTTGTGCCTAATTTAAAGTAATGATTTGTTTTCCTTACACGTACCTATATGAAATTGTGAAATAAAACTACTTTACGAATTTGTCCCGTGATAATGGATGTGGGAAAGATAATTTCATATTTTAAAACCGCGATACAGTTCATAAAATAGTTTTACTAAAGAATATAAAGTAATCAAAATACGTTATGTTAAGAACATCGTAACGCTTCGATAGACGCGCTTAGATAGAATTATTCTGGATTGTTTATAGTGTATAGTCTACATTTGGTATAATGTGACGGTTTAAAATAACATGTTTTCGTGTAAATATTTTGTACAAACAAATTGTAAAATATATAAATATTTGATACGATAATGAAGCATTTTTAACTGATTATATTATTGTTTTACCTTGAACATCATGCGCGCCGACACGTGGCCTTGCGTGATGTTTTAATGCATTTATTAAACTAACAATGCTTGCACAACAATTCAATGTTACACTGTCTCCGCAAATCCATGTTACCACTATGTAACCAAATTAGTTGGAATTTAATTGTCAAAAATGGCAAAGACATCATGCAAATCACTCGTAAAAGACTACTGTTCCAGTTGCAGTTTCGTCGGATTACACTACATTGCTGATGATTCAAAGCACTGGTCGGAGAGGTGAGTGCTTTCAATATTTGACGAATACAATGTCCGAGTAACTGATAACCTCGTTTCGAAGGCTTATTCTATATTGAGCAAGACCTATGCAAAACAAAATTTTGACTACTTTGTTTTATACTAAGTAAAGAAGCAAAAAAATGTAGCCTAATTTAAGCAAAATAAAGCGTTGAATTAAAATTACTTTAATTACTTAAGTGCTATGCCAGTAAAAGGCTTTTATACTGATAAACTTTACAACTTCCAATGTGTATGGGAATGTATCGCTCTACACTTGCATGTCCTCTGGCTTGTGCTACGTTCATACAGATTTTATTATAAAATTTTTTGAAAAAAAAAAACACAATTGACCAACGAGTTTTTTGCTAGTAAAAAAAGTATATTAAAATAACAGCCTATACATGTCCCACTGCTGGGCAATTAGTTGTGGTATATTATTTTAATATCAGTTATCTGAAACAAGCCTAAATTAAGTAAAATTATTTTATTTTGTTTGTGGTAGAGCCACGCAGCAGCTTCTGCTGTTTCAACAATGACCGGTCTGGTGAATTGACAGCCTCAAAGATCACCAGATGTATTTAATATTTATAATTGGGGTTGCGGAGGTTGAGGAGATATCCTCGTACGTAACAACACAATTTAAATCTTACGGATATCCATGGGCATCGGCATCACTTTCTATAAGGTCATCCGCGCATGTGGGCTTGTCGAAGATAAATATAATGTCACAATATTTTTTTCATAAGGACCAAGTGTCTAAGAAATGAAACAACGTAGTTTTTCCGTGCCCAATCACTTATTTATACATATAGATATAAGATGCCAAAACTCCTCACGTTTTCTAGTTTTTTCTGCAGATCATTTTCGTAGGTATAATCTATTTATTCTGAAAGTTAATGAACAGATTGCTGTGGATAATACTTGTGATCCTCTCGTGGTATGGATCAGCTCTACTTATAATCGCAGCGTGGAACGCCTTCATTATGAACCCTATCAGTTTTGGCGTGGAGACCACATACATAGAGTGGGAGACTAAGCTGCCTGCAGTAGCGATATGCGAAGCCAGTAACAAGTTCATGATCTACAACGTTTCTGATACGTCAGTTCTATTGAGTAAAATAAACGATCATTTCTTTTTCCAGTCGATATAACGTTACTATGTTTTGATATTTCCTTACTAAGGTATTGTTATATTCATATGCAATTTGAAACAAAAATAATTTACCGTGAAACAATATAGAAATAATTTATCTTGTAAAGTAGTGATGAAGTAATAGACTGTAGCGCATTAGTATTATTTTTACTCTTTTATTAGTGCTAGTGACGAGTTACCAATTGTCAAATTTTAATAAAAATCTTAAACATACTTGTAACTATTAAAATTTTTAATAAATAGACTTTTTTTACGTGAGATAGTGGCAAACGAGTTGGCAGTTCACCGGATGTTATGTGATAACCGCCGCCGATGGACATTTGCAACTCCCGTAGGGTTGCAAACGCGTTGCCGCAAACCTTTAAAGAAAGTGAGCCCCGGCTACCTCACTCACAAGGCGAAACGCACAACTTGTAACACTTATACCTTACGCCTCTTTTCTGTGCGGTCGTGATACTTACCCGGACGGACCTGCACATTCGTTCAACACGTGAACACTTTTGCATGGTCCTACCACAGTCAAACTGTAACTCTTAACGGCATTCAAAGTCATGATACGACTCCACATGACAATTTCATTCAAATTAAGCGTTAACTAGCAGCTCCATATATATAGCAGCGCGGCTATATTTTTCAGAATCTGGTCGCCGGAGCACCTATTGGACCTGGAAGACGCTTTAAAAGACGTTGCTTACTTTCGTGGCTCATGCTATCGACTCTTAGACGTCTGTTACAAGAACAACAATCCTGATCCCATCTGTAGAACTTCCAACTACAGTTATTACGCTCAGCTGGTGCGAAGTGGCTGTGGACAAATGCTCGGGAATTGCTCATATAATGGTCAAAACTTCGACTGCTGCAAATACTTTCAGCCGATACAAACCGATATCGGCACCTGCTTCATCATAAATTCTATACAGACCAAGTAATGACAACTCAGATGCTCTTATAGCTTAATGCTAAATTATATTCAAATGTAATTTACGCAATAACGCTACGCGCCCATTGTTTAGTCGTTGTGAATACCGTATCGTCAACTTATTTTAGGACACAATTTTTAAATTATTTAATCAACCTTAAAAGTAGAGCAATGTTTTGAAAAAGGCACGAGAAAGCTGAAAAACATACTTAAACATACTTTTCTATGTATATTTTAAATTACACGAACAGCATGTATATTTTAAGTTACAGTATTTATTACTCTCATTTTACTTTATAATTTAGAAAATAAATTGGAAGCCAACGGAAACTTTTATTTATCTCTTATAAGTAACTCTTAGCGAAAAATTGTTTTTTTTTGCTTTGTCTTTCTTATGTATACATATATGCTAATTTATAATTACACTGTGATAACCGTATTACTTTTTATAATAAGAAAAAAATTCTTTTGTAGGAAAGTCAACACTTATAATATGGTTAGCAATATAAAACAAAAGCAAGGGGTATTAAGTTTTGATCTCTTTCGTTCGTCCATGGTAAGAAGTAATTTCAAATCTACTTTCCTAATGTCCAATAAAAGGTATCCGTAATACCTGTTGTACCTGGACAATATAGTTCGTGCCTAGGACAATCGTTCCTTTGCGAAAACGCCTGTGCTTTATCTTTATATCACCTTTATATCCCTAAGGGCAAACAAAGCACCCGCCTCAACTCCAACGTGAAGTTAGCTGTATATCACCGACGGTGTATTGCAAAAAAAATCGTAATATACAATTTTTTGATCAGAAAGTATATATTTTTCATTGACATTACTTATTGTACAATTATTTCATCATATATATCTGAAAAAGGTTATTTACAACCAAATCTCAGTAAATTAAGGCACCTAAAAAAAAAGTAAAGTAAAGTAACATCCTATACATGTCCCACTGCTGGGCAAAGGCCTCCTCTATATAGAGCGTATCAGGGCATAGTCTACCACGCGGCCCCACTGCGGATTGGCGGACTTCACATATCTTCGAAATATTTTTTTTTGTTATTATTTCGAAAATATGCAGGTTTCCTCACGATGTTTTCCTTCACCGCGGAGCACGTGATAAGACAGCACTTAAAGTTAAAAACTTCATTGGATCCGGGACCGGGGATCGAACTCAGGTTGCTCGAGTATTTTGAATTAAAGGCGAGCGCCCGGACACTGAGCTATCACGGCTCTTAAGGCACCTAATAGAATATAATTATATAGGTGCTAATTGACATTAGGTGACCATTAGGTGACAAGGGTGACCCTTTAATTTAACATAAAACTTATTTTGTCTCATATTCGCTGTTTATGTACTTAAAAGTAAATAAGCCTGGGAACAACAGGTTCCTCTATACATAATTATTATTTATTATAAAATCCTGGCGCGATCACAGTTTTCTTACAATATGAGCGGTGAATAACTAATGAAAGGCGATTCGCTGCTTCTTTGCACGAGGGCCGCTTGTATATATTAATTATCGAACGCAATAACAAGGTTCGAACCTTTCGCCGATATATCACAAAGGCTTCACATTGTATTAAGTAGAGCGAGGGCATATAATTTTGGTAGGCCATTACGAAATGCTGCTTTATAAACCTTATCCGCGTTACCCATCATCTCGTAAATTTAAAATCTCATAGAATTTACCAAAACGTCATAAACAGTTGTCATATTTATACTGATGACAGGTGATAAGAATTAATAAATAGCAAATTAATAAACGTAGTGATTACATTCTCTTTGATAAATAGCAGTAGAGAATTTTTGAATCACTTTAAACCACAAGTTTGAAGACCTAGTTAGCCTAGTAGGCCAAATCAGTTCCTATACAACCAAATATAGCAGACTCTAGGGACATAATAATGCAGCTTCATCTTGCTATTCATATAAAATAGAACAATATTTTAAGATGTACACATTGGGGGAAGATGAAGTGCCCACCATCACTACATCGCAGTATTTCACTTTGAAAATTAAGCTCGGGCACAGATATCGGTGAGTAGTGAATCGGTTTAATTTTTTCAGCACATTTTTTTAAATCGGAGGGCAAATTATAATTTATAATTACTTAGGAGAAACACTGTTATTTTCTCTATATTAGTACCGAATATGCTGCTTGTCAATTTTGCAAAATCATTCAATTAATCAATCTGCGCGTAAAATGAATATAATCCGTCATAATTCGTATTAATATATAATGGCATTGTTTTCTTTTCGTATCAATACGCCATGTTTGATTTAGTGGTGTACAACATGCGTTATAGCTAAATACCTCTCTCGTCTCATATCAACTACCAGAGCGAAGCCTTGTACTACAGCTTGTATAATATAAAAATTATCCCAATCAAAACTGCATAAACGTATGACGTACGGTATATATGTACGTACGGTTAGCGTCATAGAAATGAATGTGTGCTTCCATTTTTTTCTTTTTGCTTTAAAGAGTCTATTGGCCTAATTACTGTGAGATATCTCTCATTCTACGTATTTTCTACATGCCATTGAAGACTACATTTGCATATTTCAAGGGTGACGAAACATTTATATTCATTCGCTTGTAATTAAATCACGTAATTCACAAGTTAATAGGATATATATAAAAGTTTGCTAAGCTATGGACGATTCTAGACGTCAAGTTACGGTTCGAAACATCGAGAACGACCCGCAGGTCGTGGAAACAACGCCGGAACAACGCGCATGTCGTTTCCATTACGAGAATGAAGATGGCCTCTACCCTCATTATTCATACAGCGCCTGTACTGTGTTGTGTCGCAAGAGAGCACAGCGTGAAATCTGTGGATGCAATGACCATTTTATGCTGGAAACTGGTAAATGTATCTTCCTTATGCTAACGAAGTGGTCAAATAGATTTAAAACGTGATTTTTTTATGAACTAGCGCTAAACTAACGTCCCCCGTTGGCACGTATGGCTGCCAGCCTTGCCTTAAATACCTATTGTTATTGGACACCCCACATTACATTGACCTTTCTAATGAACACTCATATTGTAATTCTTATCCTTTAAACGAGCAATTCTTGTATATATATAATCGGAATCTCGGAAACGGCACCAGCGATTTTCATGAAATTTAGTATGTGTAGATACGGGGGCGAAAAATCGAAAATGTCCTTTTATCCCTGTTTTCAGGGAATGAAAAATATTATTCGAATGTGACAGTAAATTTCGCCGCAAAAAAAAATGTTATAATAGCTCGTTCGGTAATCGGGCGGCCCCAAAACAGACGGCCGCGGGTCGTATCACGATCATTTACACACTCATTTCTTTTACTTTTTTTTCTATACCAGATCATGTTCTTTATTTTTATTTTTTTTATTTCCAAAATACATGATTTACCAAAAAAAAACCAAGCTAAGCTCGGTCCTCCAGGTATTTATAGTGGAGCGCCTAAGTCATTAAAAAAAATACCTCGGATTTATGTTTAGCATAGTTGAACAAAATAAAAAAAAACATTGGAATGTTTGGCTAACAATATATTTAAAAATGTCTACCTATTTTTGTTTTTTTTCTGAAAAACATTGCCCTCACTTTAGGATAACATTATCCTGTGTTGTAAGGACGTTTTTACAAACATAAATTCCACGTGGACAAACACCCAGATACGAAACAACTATCTGTGGGTCGCACAAATAGTTGTCCCGTGTGGGAATCGAACCCACGACCCCCGACGCGATTTAAAATAGATGATTTGCTAAAATGTTATTTTTACAGTTTTTTGTTTAAATAATAAAAAATCAAAAGCACAAAAAAATCCGCAGATTTTGCAACTTATAGTATACAAAACCCACCAACAAGAAAACACCAGAGTAAAAACCTTCAGGCGCTCCACATTAGTTGATTTCTTTGAATTCGGTTTTTGTATGCAAAAGTCACTTTTTATAGCTATGTTGAAACATTAAATGGTCTGATCTAATTATTGAATTATTGACACCTCAGTATTATTTATTGTTCATAATTATATCTGTAGCAATTTCCTTCCAGATGCATCTGAGCACTGTAATATATCTGGTATGGTATGCCTTCACATGCACGAAAGCCAATTGACAACCTTGAAGCCCCACTGGGCCGTAGACCGATATGGTATGGTCTGCGAATGTCTACCATCTTGCGATGAAACGGAGATAACTATAATCAAGGACGTCATCAACTCGTAAGTGAATGCCAATTTTATTGTAAGTACAATAAAATTACACTTACGACTTTATACACTTTTTATTTTCTACCATTACCTGTTCAATGACCCAATGATTGTTGGGTTTGATTGTAATTGAGATTGGATAATTCGAAGACTTCGGCTTTGTAAACAAATTAGAAAGCAAAATTTAGGAAAAAAGATTAAATTGTAACAATTAGCCAACAATTAAGGTAAAGAAAATTTTACACAAACAATTATTTTAATAAGCAAATTGAACCAAACGTTTGCAGTATTTCCTTATTATGAGAATACTCCATTGTTTTGAATCTAAATTCTTGGCCTTATCGAGCAATGTTCAATTTTAGACCAATATGGAATAATGCTGATCGTCTCTGGGCTGGTGCAACCCAATTTCATAATATACAGAAATCAGTGGGGTATTTATATAACTATGTACATCATGCATTCACAAAATGCCGAGACCGATTACGAGTAAATTATCAGTCAATCTTCAAATTACCCCTTGTGTAAAACAATGATTTTTGGTAGCGATCATCTTTACAGAATTTTTTTTTATATTATCGCGCCTGCTGGCACATATTAATGTCAATATTTGATGACTTAAACATAAAAAACTATTTATGCCTGTAATATAATTGCAGGGATAAAGGCAACAAGAAGAAAGCATTCGTTGAATTAGTCCTAGCATATTTGCCCACAGAAAGATTTAAAAGAAATGTGGTACGAAGTCGCATGGACTTAGTGGGTAAGGTCTCTTAAATAAATAATCCATGTTTGTTTAAAGTGTCTCATCTATCTTATTTTATGCTAATTACGCTTATTTAAAAAAAATGCTTAATTTATGTACAATTATTCCAGCTTTGTTAACTATGCTTAGCTTGATTCCGTGGGGTGAGGACCTGGTGATCTGTAATACAGGTTTTTACACCTATAATAGACACCAGCTCCGCACAATTACCTGATTAAATTTTTTACTGAAGCTGTACCAACTTATGATATTGTATCTTGTTGTCATGTATTGTGAGGAGATATAAATACATAATTATTATTATTTGTCTCATTATTATTTGCTAGGATTAATTTTTTAAGGTTTTTTATAAATTGTATATTCACCTTTCAATCTAATAAGTAGATAGTGTGTCAGTCATTAATGCAAGTTTCATAACCTATAGGATGTGAAAAAGCATGACCTACATTTAGCGTGTAAGAGTAGAAAACATATTTCTACACCACTAAATAAAGTATTCGTCTTTCCCATATAAGGTATATTAATGTGTATTTTAACTCTTTATTAAATTATGCGTTTGTAATTTAATGATAATTCGAAATTATTTTGTAACCAATAAAAACCTTTGCCGTTTTCAGTATCTGTGGGCGGTACAACCGGATTATTCCTCGGAGCTAGTTTACTTAGTTTCGTGGAGCTTATATTCTACTTTACTATACGTTTTATTGGCAATGTTTGGCTTGAAAAGAACAGACACCAAGATACAACAACAGGCACTATTGGAAGAGAACGCTACCTAGCTTGAAAATAAAAAATACAGTAAAGCTTGAATAAGTAAACGGAAATTATCAATTATTATCATTGATGGTTTTACATTACCAAGCGTTGGCTATGCGTATTCAATTTCCACCGGCTATGATGAAAATAATGTATGTAAGTAATAATATAATAAAACAACTTCAATATTCGAGGAACGATTTGAAACCCATGCATCACCGGAAATTATTTCAACCTACCAGGCGAAACATACCACATGCTCTCAGACTTATATAATAAATAAAAATACGTGTGTTTGTATATACTTACGTATGTACGTATCATACATTATATTTCGTGGTAAAATTTTCCATTACCACAGTTTGATTTACCAGGTGCAAAAAAATTTTATTCGATAAAGAAAAATCAATTATAAAATAAACAACAAGTAGAATTATCTGGCTGCGCATAGTTTTCGAGAAAAAAAATATTTAAAACTCGTTATTTTCACTAAGAAAGTCCTCCATTTTGTTATTGACAACATGTTAGATATAAAGCTACTAAAAGTTTTTTGTTAAAAATACATATATATTTGAAGTCGCACACTTTTCCAAATGGTAATGTCGCATTAATAAAAAACACTGACGCTTCTTCGTCTTTGGTTTAATTATTACATTGTAACATTTAAAAACTTTCATATTAAATCAAATACGTCTTGTCCACACTTTAAACAAACAAAACTTTTTACAAGATACCACGACGACACAAAAAAATCGAAAAGTACTGAACGAGATTCTAATAAAATTTTATAAAAAGAAATAAAGTATAAATTACAATACGTACATAATTCACTAGTGCTAGTAGACGCGCACATATTATCCACCATTACAAATACAAATATTAAAGAGGAAATTGAAAAGAGCGGGAAATACTTATCTTTTTAAATTTAATATATGATTAGGTACTCAAATATCAATACAGCCAATATGCTAATATCGATTTCGGAACTCGATTACAAATTTTATAAAATCTTTTTAATCAGTAAGTAGTATAAATTAATTTCAAGTCTATTTAACACAAATTGAAAGGTTTTTTCGTAATTGCATATTTTTATATATCAAGGAAGCCTTATCTAATTAAGATTAATAGTGATTTTTTCTTTAATTTTTTTTATTAAAATTACGAAGATTTTTCTTTTTACATACGAAATATTCACCTTTCATAAATTTAAATTTTTTGTTAAATGTAAAAAAAAAATCATATTTCTGGCCGTGGAAGAGTCAAATTTAATTATGAATTAATAATTATTATTTCATTATTAAATTTGACTCTTCCACGTGCTTCGCCAGAACACCTGAACGCCAGGACCTCTAGCGCGAGGTTCTGGCTCCGCCTTTTTATGTTCACTCTAGGGGTAGGGACCAAAAGACCACATGGAGTCGGGGTGCTCTGTGTCGGATCTGTGACTCATAATTTTTTTTAACAAAAAAAAATTATCGATTTTACAATCGATACGAATATGACGTCACTCGCTACCTATATTTATCATATTGGCAGTACTGTATATTGAGTTTTTGAAGTCCACTTAGTAAAATGGCAGACTTTCGTAGTGAAAATAACAAATTTTTAAATAATTTTTATCTCGAAAACTGTGAGTGAGCAGATAATTCTGCGTGTTGATTATTTCATTAGTAATTTTTCTCTATCGAAAAAAGTTTTATGTTAGCTCGAAAATCAAACTGCGGTAATGGAAATTAATACCATGCGGCGACCTTACCTCAGCTTATGACAGTTTAAATAATAATCACAACAACAGCTACTGTTAGAATATCGAAGACATCACTTAATAGTCACTAAGCTCATTTTACTTGAGACAAAAACTGATTCGAGTTGGAAGTACAATTTTAAAACTAATAGGTACCTCGAATTTTTGGTATTGGTATTATGCTATATAATAATATATAAATTTTTATGTAAAACTCGACGTTTCATAAGAACGCGCAAACATCTCTTTGAATAAAGATATTTGGAATTTGAATATAGCGCATAAGCTTTAAAAAAGTATTCATTATTTTAATATTAATCACTTTTATGCATTGCACAGTTTGATTAATGTACCCAATTCATATCTATATTATTAAATATTTGTTTATTTTTAGTCAACAATAAATGTAATTTTAATTATAACAAAAATATTTAGTTAATATCATGATTTTCTTTTTAAGATCAACTATCCTTAATTACGTATAACAATATCATTAATACGCAAATCAAGGAACTAATCGCTGCATTTCTTAGATATTAACCAACATAAAAAGGTGCTTATGTTTTTTTGGCAAAAGTGGTTAAGCAGAAAATATTTCACGGTGAATTTAAGTGATTACCACTGCCCTTGAAAATCTCGGGTTACCTTACCAGAGTCAAATATATAAGCCTTATCTAATTAAGATTCACGCCTTTTTATGAGTCGTGCCTTCCCCGGACGACCCTGCCCACAGCAAAAGCTGCTGCGAGATCCAACTGTAAAGACAATTATTGTGCAAGTCATGACTTGCTCGTTGAATAATCACCAAATTAAATAATTCCACCGACTTCTACAATTTCTATTGAAAATAAGGAATAGAATTAATGTCGAAGCGCCCCGTTTTTTCACTGTTTTTTTTTTTTTGAAAATAGGAGTCATGTAAAACATTATTTCGTAATTTATGATTCAATTACAAGCTTTACGAATTAATTGTTTAAACTAAAGGAAGCCGTCACCGGCTCTAGAAAATATACGACGACAGATTTTTCATTCCTTCACTGCTGGCCGTATGAAGAAGCTCAAAGTCGCACAGCGAGCTATGGAGCGGGCTATGCTCAGTATTTTTCTGCGTTTTATAGAGTTCTCAACGAAAACATCCACAGTAGAACAAAGGTAACCGATACAGCTCAAAAGGTTAGTAAGCTGAAGCGGCGATTGGCCGGCTATATGGCTTGTAGAACCGATAACCGTTAGGGAAGAAAGGTTCTCGAGTGGCAGCCTCGTACTGGTAGGACGTGGGGTAGGGTTACGATGCAGGTGGCTCAAGATCGTGCTTCGTGGCAGTCTGTAGGGGAGGCCTATGTTCAGCAGTGGACTCCAACAGGCTGAAATGATGATGATGATGACCCTGGAGTTGAAATTTTTCCCCGCAAAATTGTTATCCAAATTTTGAAAAAAAGAGTCGGTTTAAGGCAACGGACGGTGAGTATAGGAGGTGATGAAGAGTTTCCAATGGAGTCTCTTGTAGTTTAATGACAATCCGTTATCCAGTGTGAGGACAGCCGTTCACGACAATAGGTTTGCTCAGAGGATAGAGCAAGTGACAAAACTTGCTTAACACATCATCGCTAGAATTGATTACTATTTTTCACAGTACACCTCTACAGTAATTGCTGCTTCTGTACTTTTAGTCAAGTCTACCATCCAAGACCGTAAGGTTGTTGCGATCATGTGGATAGTATGCAAGTTCCTAAAACACCGAACACAAAGAGTATAGGGTTCATTCATTTGCGGTGAACAAGTAAATGGACTTGAATAAAAGAGTGCAATCATCGCTACGTAAGAAAAGACAGCAGACTGCCGACGATCAATGGTTGGATTATTTTCAAAACATACTCTTGACACTTGTCTTGTCATAACTCGGTGGTGCAGCACCTAAGCTATTGACTTTAAACTACGGCGCCAGGGATTGTGCGTTAAATGTGAATCTAACCCACAACCCCAGACCGTGTGTGAACACACGTCAAGTATTTGTGTGTCAAGTTTGCTCCCAAAGAGGTTTGACGTCATGCATGCGGCCGATCCTAAAAGAACCTACCCACAAGTCCACAACTACTTATCATAATTCATAATTATGTGTGTCGACTCCACCTAGGTGAAATAAAGGAGGAATTTTGCTAATTCCACTTCGTAATGTTGTTTTCTTAAGAAACACGTAAGATTTTTGTTCAGCAGTGTCAGCTCCAGATGTTGAACCTTAATTTTGAAATTTTGAACCTTAGTTGAAACGTCATAATGTTTAATTATTATTTCTTTAATATCTTCGATTAAGGAAGTGTTAATTTAAGTCCAGTTGTCAATTTGAGACCATATTTCACACATTTTGACGGAAATCTTAGTGCATGACATTACTCTATCGTTGTAATGGATTTCCGCAAAGTAACGCCTGATTCTATTAAATAAGCAAGCTAATGTCGGTCAATGTGAAACGTTTAAACTCTGAAGCCATAGGAACTAGTAATAATATTGTAACCATTCTGTTGGTGATAACCATCCATTAAAAGAGAGTGAAGTGAAAAGTTTTAGATTTAAAATCATAATTTTATATTACTTTTCTGTTTAAAAAATATGGCATTAATATAACTAATTATTAATAATCAATGTTTAAACATTAAAATCAAAAGGCACTAGTTTATGTGTTATTGTAATAGTTGATGTTACGTAGTTCCCCCTATACTCTTGAATTTATTAGTATTTGCGCATTTACGATTAAATTCAGAGAAAAGTGTCCTACATTATCATAATCTGTAGGACACCCCAACTGAGCTCCGTATCGATTTTGAGGTGGCAAGCGAGACAGAGCTATACTCCGGCGCCCCTCACGTTTGTCGCATAAATATTGAAAATCGACCTTATTTACCAGCGGCCGCGGTAGAATCACGATATATCCAAATAATTTGATTGACCTTAGCAACTAATATTAGACATAAAAAGCAAAATGTCCAAAAAATGAGCTGAATTTCTAATTGGCGTTAGAAAAAACTGTAAACAGTGAAGTGAAATCCTCAAAGAGTAGTGATCATGGTAAGTTTTTATTATTTTCATCCACTACACTTTGTTATATAGTTTCAGCTTATACCTACTATTTTCTTTATTTTTAACATAGGTTTTTAAAGTATTCTTACCTGAAAATGTTCATTGTTTATGACGTCAGCAAATTAGTGCTAAATAAAATAGCTCTCTATCATAGGTATAACGAAGAAAATTTATTTTAAAACTTGTAACTATGCTTCCAGTCGCGTAAAACAATCTAAATCTCCCTTAAAAGAGCTAACAAAAAATTAAAAAAGAAAAATACACATTTTGAGATACACGAAATTTACAAACTACAAAAATTTATTCGCCGGCCCAATCTTACAAAAGCTGAACACAAACGTAATTATACGTATGTTTTAGTCATATGGTATTAAAAAAATAACAATCTTTCGAAACATTATGTATAGTTTGTCACCAATTGTTGATTTACTTGTATTATCGATAAATTTCCATAGTTTTTCTTTTTGTTTATATTCTAAAAAATAAAAGTTGCATTTCATTCACATCCAAATTGTTGTATATTGATTGATACACAGTAAGGCAGCGCTCAAGGTTTTCTTTTTTAATATGAATATTTTAAAAGCGAACGTATAGTTAATCTGATATAAGTTTTTACCACCGCCATCTTCAAGAGATTTCCAGTTTACCTCACTCTCCAGAAGGAACGCAAAAATGTAATACTTCTGTTTCACTTTGGTTTTTCATGAGGTATCATACTTCTCTTCATCGGTCTACTCATTCGTACAACAGCAGAAAGCTTCTGTGTAGCCTTAACATTGACAAATGTCTAGCGTTTGAATTGATTCTTGAGCGCAAACAATACAACTCTCTGCAATACTCTATCATTAAAAAGCGGAAAATATGCTTTGTATTTTGTTGTTTTATCAAATACTTGGGCGCAGATCTAGAAACATGTCGAGCGACCAGCGCGAGAAGGGTTCCATGATGCGGGACGTGCTCAGCGCTCTTGGCGGTAGTGAGGCGTGCGGCGCTCGCTGGACAGTGGGTGCGCTACTTCTGGCACCACTGGCAGCTGCCAACTCAAGCTACTGCGCCGTGCCAGCCGTTATGCTACTGGCAGTCTTCGCAACCTTTGCCAGTGGGTATCCATTCCACACTTCATTTGTTATTTTCTTTGGAGAGATATTCAACGAGCAAGCGATGCTTGTGTTAGCGCACGGGTTGCTGACCTTTGAGAAGGATGACTCAGCCACCGGATAGTGTAAGAATACGTTTTCTACTTCAGGCCGGTCTTCTAATTGTTCTCAGTGCTTGATCTGTTTTGTAAGATCTAAGAAAGAAATAGCATAAATAAGCCAATGACATAATAAAAACTTACCGCGTTATTGTTTCATGCTTCATATATAATGCCAACAATTCATTAAAATCTATAATCAAAAAATCTTTATTGGTGAAAATTCAATATTGCGGACTTTATTAAGGTTTAAATTTGAAAACTGTTCGCTTATTTACGCGGACCTAAAATATAGCAAAAGCTTAAACCTATCAAAGATAAAGTTTAAAACTATCAGAAGATAATAAATAACAGCAACAGTGAAAACATTACGTCATATTGTCCGTCTCCACCGTTCATATCATCAATATTTTGTAAACCTTATAAAGAGAGAAAAGAGTTTAACAGAAATGGAATCTTACTCTTTAATTCTAAATTCAACCCTTCCCTTTAAAATAGTTATTTTAAACTACCTATACGTTTTGCAGCATTGACCTGCAAGGATTTAAGGAAGCTCTCCGAAATCCTTCCTCCTCGGCGCACGCCCAGGGGTAGGAGGGAGAGGAACTTGCGGTCATTCGCCGACTTCATGGCGATGTGGATGTGTTTTTTATCCCACTTGGTCGCGGTCGCCATCTGCGCTAGGATACTAAGCGCGACAGCTGATCATGTTACCGGTGGACGCACAAGAAGATGGCTGTTTGGCTACGAGACACGCTCCCTGGGCGAGCCCTGGCCTGATGTGATAGGTGTTACAGTGGTAATGGTGGTATGCGCAATGTTCATGTGCGGACTTGAGGTATAAAATTCTTCTGTTTGACATCTATTTATAGAGTATAAACATGTCGTGTCATATTCCTGTCTGGTTTGCAGGAAAGCATGATGTTCACGTTCATACTATTGATCCTGTTGTATTTATTTAGCCAATGTTTTGCAATATTCGGCCTCATTAATTTGGATATAGCAAGCATAAAAATTCCAATACCGATTACGATATACGAGGTAAGATCTAATTTTCTATCGGAATTTGTCTTGGCGTGCTTTCATACTAATGTTCTCTATGCCTCAGGTATTCGCAGCAGGAGCACCAATAGCATATGCTTTCAGCGTTGGCCTGCCACCGAAACAAAACAGCAATATGAAGAAGAATTTGTTCCTTATGATCGGACTGCCAACGATGATCCTTTGTGGTCTTTGTTTTTTGTACACGAATATGTTGAAGGGGTAAGTCCTGATAGTTTTTAACTAAGTTTTTAAGAGCAACTTAATAATGTTACAACAAAAAGTATAAGAAATTACAGAAAAAAATCTGCAGCTTATAAACTGTCAATCATGCCACTATTAATTGTAAGGTTTATCATACCTTAAATATCATTTGAAAGAAGTCTTAAAGTATACTAGCTCAATGTCCGGGCACTCACTTGTAATTCAATATACTCGAGCAACTTATGTTCAGATCCTGTGCATAAGAGGCCTTAGTCCAGCAGTGGGACATATATGTGCTTCTTTACTTAAGTGATAGTCTATTGTAGTTCCAAGCCACTTTTGCTGTGCGCAAGAATGAGCCATGCCCTTACAGAAGAACAGCGTTAAATTGAAGTACTATAATTCCGCGATCTTTTGATAAGTGGTCATAGGTGGTGGCAATGGATTTGCTATCTGTCAGGTTTTGTTACTGTCCATGGGCGGTGGCGCTCACTTAACATCAGGCGGACTTTCTGCTCGCTTTCCAACTGATTGATTTTTATGCAAATAAAAACTGTCTTGTCTTAAAGTACTTGCTGAATTAAGCAGTTGTGTGTGCAGACTGAGGTGTTCAGCTCGATTCACTCTTGCCTTTAAGACTGTCCCATTTTCTTCGGTCCGAAAGACCTGATACTGGCATTCTATTGTTGTTCGAATTTTCCTTATTTTACAAATTTATGTGTATTCTTTTAATCAAGAATTGGATAGTACTTTACCACTATTCCACCTGAAAGTAAATCATTTTACAGCCATACAGTTATAACGTAGAACTTCAGTATAGCCTCATTGATGGTTAAACAGCATTTTAATAACATTTGATTCAATATGCATATAAGGGAGTTCAGTTATATAGGTATGTTTCTACAATACATTATCCATTCCCAAACTAACATTGTACGATGGGTATTAGGTAACACGATAAACGTATTAATCCTAATTTTCGTTTGTAAATAGATACATATTATAGATATTTAAACACCCAACTACAGACACTAGAATAATACTTTGTTCATACACACAATATTTTTCCAGCAGTGGTGATCGAACCCACGCCCTTTGGGGCAAAAGAGAAGTTAACTATCCATTACGCCAATCTTACTTATAACTTTACTACTGATTTCAGGAACAGAATCGATGCAGCATTGCCAGTAACCACATTGCTGGAGGCACGCTCAGCTGGCTGGGTTTGCCCAGTGCTGGCCGGTATCACGGTGGCGGGAATTTGCCTCGCCCTCACCGAACTTTGTCCCCTGCTATTCTCCTTGCTGGTGTTGCTAGCGTCCCCAGAGTGGAAAGTGCTGACGAGGTCAATGACATACGAAAGCACTACGACCGGAAGTCCAGTGTTGGCTGTGTTTACAGCAGGTGTGTGCCATATATCTGACTTTGAATTAAATGATATCCATTGAACTTTTGACAAACTCGATAAAAAAAAGTAGACACGAAGAGACTTGGCGCAGTTGCTGAGCTATTGGCTTCGGCGCCAAGGGTCGTGGCTCACGCGGGACAAAAATGTATGTGACCCTTGGATAATTGTTCCATTAAATTAAACTATAATCATAGTTGTCCTGGCAATCAAACAACGAGAAATGGGTCTAAATTAGAATCGCAGTCGTTTCAGGTCGACAAAATCCGGACGCTGTCGATATTGATACTCTTTAGTTTATAAATTTTGTACTTTCGTATTATTCGCCTTTCACAATCTTATACAAGCAAGATTATAATAATGATTAGTATCTTCCGGTTTAATAACAGCCTTATTCCTGAACAAATATAGAAATATTTATCTTTCATCTATTCATAGGTAGTCTGGCAGCAATATTAGCATTCGCCTGTCCCCTATCGCACATGATCACGTTGATGAATGCAAGTCACTTATTTGGAATCACTATACAAGCATTCCACTTCATTATCATGAGATGCGTTCCGACGATGGAGCAGATGGAAGCAGGAAGTAAGATTTTAAGCTATTATTAACAAATTTACAATTTTTTTCATTACTTATTTATAATAAAGAAGACATGTCTGAATTCTTTAGTAAAATTTTAAATACATTTTGAGAATTTAGGAAGTATTTTTATGACCGATAAGAGATATATGTCGACTTGATGAAGACTTTTGTTTTTGTGCGCTGTAGGTACTGTAGAATAGGCGAAGAGAAGACTTGACGTAGTTTGCCGAACACTGCCCAACCTGTATACCTGTATACCCGTCTGTTAATTTCTCGATCGAAATGTTTTTTACCAAATAGCAATAGTTGCCCGGGGTAAATATATTCTTTAACAACCTCTAGAGAAACGCTGTTTATTATAATCAGATCCGAAAGAAGAAAAATGTTCATTGAACATTATCTAGTCTTATGAGTTACTCTTGTCTTACTCTTATAACTCAATTTCGTCTAGGCTCATGTCGGACAGATATTCAAAAAGACAGATATTGTCAGTGAATCATGAAACAGTGTGCATCCTTAGCTGATACTAAGGTACTGTTTAGGTCGAGGTGTTTGCAAGGCGTGAAGCTGAGCATAGAATCTTGCAAGTTCTGACTGATGCTCTGGTTTTGAAGTGACTTCTCTTCCGTCCGCTGTAAGCTTCGATAAGTAGGTTCCGAGGGATTATACTATTCTTTTCCACTCCCGATTCTGCTCAGTCGCCTGTTTTATTGAGATTATGTTGGAGCGTCGGAGGTTAGATCGTACCGACGCTGAAGTTGACCGTCGGGTAGACATTTTCTAGAGTGAACACCGCGTCTCGGCAAACGTAGTGTAGGATATCCACAGATCTTGCTTGAGGATGATCTGAGGATAATGGAGCGACGATCTCCGCAGGATAACTGATAACAGAGAAACAACTAGATGCGAGAAGCCGAAGATCGTTCAAATTGGCCTGCAATGAGAGAGGTCTACGTCCAAAAGTGGACTGCAATAGGCTAACGATGATGATTATAGTAAATATTTTAAAATATTACCACGTATATACAATGTGTAAAAACACATTGTTTACTTAAAATACAATGCAAACTTTGTAAAAAACACAACATTTCCTTTTTTATAAAATTTTCGGATTATTTATTTTTAAATGTTCACTTACAGACATCGAGTACAAGCGCCTTGGAACAGAGCATGGGGGAGGCACCTCGCGTGTGGTGAAATCCATTTCGATGAAATCCAAGCGCAGCCTATGGTTTATACCATCAGCGATACGTCACACCAAGACATTAGAAAGTATTAAATCAAAGGTTACAAAAGGTAAGACTGTCATAAACCGTCGCCCATAGTGACAGGGATTTTGTACATTTTTTTATTTATATTTCACATACCTTCGCCACGAACATGATGAAGTCGTTCGTCCTCCATTCATTAAATGTTGTTTTCAAATTATAAAGCTTTAAAATATATTACCCACTTATCTAGAGTACCTTTCATCCTGTAAATGTCCCACAGCTAGGCGAAGACCTCCTGTGTACAAAGAATATTAGGCATTTTAGTGGCATACCGCCGCGTTATAGCAGACTTCACTCATATTCAAAATATGTTTTTTTGGAAAATACAAGGTTTCGTCACGATGTATTTGATTCACCAACGGGCACATATATCATCGTTTCCAGGTCCGGGATTTAAACGCGAATTGCTCGAATATATTGAATTTTTAAAATATACCAATCGAATTGAGAACCTCCACTTTTTTTAAGTCGGTTAGAAAGCCAGCGACCGCACACTAAACTATTATTGCTTACCCCCTTAAGGATACTTATAATTATATGTATCTAATGGAATAAAAACTTATGTAGAGACTGAAGAACGCGAGTGCCTTTTGCTTGACGAGTACGCAGGCTGTCCCATGGAAGATATTGAACAGACTTCGAGTAGCAACGACGGCATTAGGGCAATGGCTGTTGAGGAAGAAGTGGATATTCAGTCCGATATTGAAGCGAGTGAACAAGAAGTCTCGTCTGGAGATGATTCCACGGACATCGACGCCGTAGTTAAGGAATATAAGGATACAATACAAGTACGTCTCTGTGTATTTTTCTTTCACTGAAAAGTTGCGGTTGCAAGCGAGCAGATTCTGTCTTCTCTGGGGCCGTAGTATTTCCCCAGACAAGCCTGCCCACACCGGTAACACAACAAGCTACTGCTTAGACTTACCACAGTAAAACAGTATACATTTGTAAAATTAAAATTGATAAGGAAATAGAGCCGTGATAGCTCAGTGTCCGGGCGCTCGCATTTAATTCAATAGCATTCAGCGGTGAAGGAAAACATCGTAAGGAAACCTGCATATTCTCGAAATAATAATAAAAATAAAATATTTCGAAGATATGTGAAGTCCGCCAATCCGCAGTGGGGCCGCGTGGTGGACTATGCCCCGATACCCTCTGTACAGAGGAGGCCCAGCATTAGGACATGTATAGGCTGATACTTTAATTTTTTTTATGGAAATTGAATATTATATACGTTAATAAATCGCGTGCACGTCTTTTGTGATCATTGTCAAAAATAATGATTGTTTTACTTTATTAATTTAAAATATACTAATAATTCTTAATTAAAGTTTTTTTTAATATAATCCGCGGCTGCCTATTCAGTGCAACTAACGAACACTACAATATCGCTGGACTGTGTAAACTTTCACCGAATCAGTTATTACTAAGGAGGACATTATCGACATTGCACCCGCAATCCCTTACTTATAACTCTCTCCTTAATAATCACAACTTCTAATAAAAAGATTTGTTGAAAATTCCAAACATTAAATATTGTATCCTTTTATCCATTCCAATCAATAAGAAATTAGATTTACAAATTAAACCCTAGAATCATTCGTCAATACGCTAGTAAACCATCAGTGTATCTGACACACTGCTATAGAGCTTAGTAAATAATTATGTTACCGACTTGTGTGTATGAGTAGATGTTTACGAAGAAGAGGCAAATCAGGCAGGACTTTGGTATTCGACACTGCCTACTCTGCACGGACAGTAGTAAGGGCTTTTGTGTGTACTGTGCACAGGTGGTGACAGCTGTGCCCGAAGCTAACACCCCAGCACCGCCTTGCATCAGAGGCGCTAGGTGGTCAGCCGCGGGTGCTATAGTCCAAGTTGTCGCGAACGCATTCCTTGCCGTCGCCTTCTGCAACGAGGCCCTGAGACTGCCGATGTTCCTTACGGGAATACCGAGTGAGTACATAAATAATTTATAATATTAATTTTATCAAAAATGACATTTAGCAGTTGACTATTACTTGTGAAACTTCTTATACACTTACTTAAAAGCCCACTTGAAACCAATATCAGTAAAACACAATGATGTTTTAATAGAGGTGTTGTAAAAATTGTTGTGGTGCTTAAAAATTGTTTACATACATATGTAACCAATTCATACATGAATAATCATGCAATCTTTAATGAAGAGGGACAGATATTATTCATTTCTGAATAAGTAAACCTCCCCACGATACTTATACACAGCAACATGTCGACAAGTCACTAAACGGTTCTTAATTCCTATTTGTGAAAGCTTGTACAGTACTTTATTTTAGCTCAAGTTGTTTGCCGGTCTATGTAGTAAAACGAACCTTTAGATAACTTTCCTTTCATTTCAGTGTGGCTGTGCGGAACATTTATTTGCATATGGCAGCCCTCACACAAACTTGGCATGAACAAAACGCAAGGCGTAGAAGGGCCTATAACGATGACAATGGCATTATTGTTCCTCACGCCTCTATTGCTTGACTCCTGGCCTGCTATTATACTCTTTGCGGGCGCCGGTAACGTTGATAAAATATATAAAATAGTAAAAACTGAACACTAGTAATGCCGAAATAATCGAAATAATATCTTAAGAGCTTATTGACATTTGACACAACACCTGTGATAAATATTTAAAGCTTAAGAAGCAATAAATATCTAAAATGTTATACAGATTATTCCTATAATGACTTTCTTAATTAATAAAACGATAATCATAGTATATTCCATTGTACATAATATGTAATACATGTAAAAGTAAAAAAAAAAAAAATAACTTTAAATGCTAAGTAATCAAGCTATAATAATTGACTTTATTGTCTCCTTTTCACTTCTGCCAAGAAAAACATTATTTACAATTTAACTAATGTTATAGCGTCATTTTTAAATCTTCTTTTTTATGCTTGCAACTTTTTTGTTGAAATTATAACTACTTCACAATAATTATGATTATTTAAAATTTAACAACTTACAAAATTAGTAATTAGTAAGGTGGAATTGGTTGGGCAATAAAGGCAGCCTGCATGCATTAAGTACTCCTTTTGAGATATTTGGTTTGGTTTGATAAATCTATTGTTCATAAAACTACAATTTATAACATACATACCTTTCTAGCATTTAAACGTGTTAAACAAGCCGGCGGTACACAATGTTATGTTATGTAATGCTGCAATACAGCAAGCGCCGCCGCTCAATCGGATGGATTTGGGTTCAGTACGCCCTAAAAGGCCTAAGTCAATTTGACGCCAGGGCGAGGGTGTATGTATATATAGGCTCGGCTTTGCGGATAAATCCCTTAATTCGCCACTGATAAGCAACAGATGGTGCTGTGTGGCTGAACTATTTTAAAAACTTTGCAGGAGTAGTAATATACGCGCGCTGCGAACGATGGTGCGGGGACCTGGCGGTGCAGCAGGCGCGGAGTACGCTCGAACGCCGCAAACGCGCCGCCCGCCCCCTCACCGGTACTCTCGCACACATCGATACTGTTTATATCGCCAGGTAACATCACTAGTCCCGCTCTTCTCCCATTAATGTTCGACTTTGGTCCGTAGCCACCGCTGACTATGTTAACAACATGCACCCCGACTCTGTGTTCTTGTGGTCCCTACCTATAGAATGAACATAAAAAGGCGGAGCCAGTTCTGGCGAAGCGCATTGAAGAATCAAATTTAAAATTGAATTTTTTTTTTTTTAATATTTTTTACATTCCATTAATTCGTTACTGATTTTTCTCTACCGTAAAATTTTTTTTGTTTGCTTTATCGTAGTAGTAGCCTGCTAAAATTTTATCACTAAGATGCCTCTTATTTTTTTATGTGAGAAGTTAAGTGATAACCGCCGCCTGTGCACATTTGCAGCACCCGTAGGGTTACAAATGCGTTGCGATCTTTAAATAAACTGGGCTCTGGTTACCAAACGAAAAGCAAGAGGTATAACACTTCCACTTTACTTGTACTTCCCCGGACGGACCTGCCCATTCGTACAACAGCGAATACTGTTGCGTGGCCCTACCACAAGATTATTGTACGTAATGAGTGAATTCGGTAGGGTCCATTTTATGCCAAAATTTGCTATCGAAAGTCAAAGCACGGGTATTTTGATCATAGGTCTTTGCTGCCAGTCATCTAATAAGTCAACGTAGTAAGACAAAATCAATCATTTAGGAAACTATTTGTAGGGCGTAGGACGTTAGCGTGAATCACTGTATGCTAGCTATATTTAACTTTTGTGTCATTTTGATGCTTGCACAGATTATAAAATTAAAATTGATTAACATAATTAAACCAAGTAGAGATAACTAAATCTTCACATGTTATGTTTTGCTAGATAATAATGCTAGATCTGCGAGTCATTTAAATACAAGTAAAGAAATTTGAGTAACAATAAACAATTAAAAATTGAAGTCGGTTACTTCAAATATCTCGATGATTTGAATATAGGAACTCAGGGGATTTTTAAAATCGGTTCTTAAATGATGGAGTTCTGAGGTAACAAACATAAAAAAACCTGCAATTGAATAGAGAACCTCGTTTTTTTTGAAGTCGGTTGAAAATAGAAACTACATTCCATTTTCCATCACCTCCATTATTGTGTCCTTGCTAATGCAGTCTTAAATAAAATGCACTTGCAGACCGAGTAAAACAGTAGTAGCTGAAAGCTTTCTTTCGGCTATTACGAATCAGAGAAGCCACCTCTTTTAGCCCAGTCATTTTAGGCAAATTTTTGTATAATTATTCAATTTTAGAATTTTTGTATATTTAATTTTGTATATGAAATTTTGTATTTTATTATGGCGTTTTAATGAAGATGTGAAAAATCGACATTGATATCGTGCCGGCTAAAAAGTTATTAGTTTGGTTTTAGTTTTTTGTAGACATGATCTCTATTGACCTCCAAATCCGCAATAGGTCGCGAGATATTTGCGAAAAACTGATTTTTGTGACCTTTTGACCTTTATAATTTTTTAGCCGGTACGATATCAATTTCGATTTGTCACATCATCATTACAACGCCGTAATATCGGTATATACAAAAATTCAGCTCACTAAGAATTCATCCACAGATAAAACCTAAAATGACTGGGTTATTTAGGTTTTTATTCGTTTGCCAAAGATAATGCAAATAAGTAGACGATGTCGACCGCCCAGCTTAGTAAAAAGAGCGTATAAAGGCGTAATCCCCGCAGGCTCAGGTGCGAATTCTAGCAGCGACGGAGAATTTTGCTACAACTTTATGAATACATTTGTAATGTATACATAAAATTGTCCAAAATTTCATTTAGAGTGCAGAGACTAGCATTAAAAATGAAATATGAATAGCAAAGGCGACATCTCTAGTTTTCCTATATTTACTGTAAAAATGTAGTTTGCCAAAGTACTATCGTTTAACTGTATCGTTAAAAATACAGTTAAAACATAATAGATAGAAGACTACGAGATTTTCACGCTGTGCGGATGTTAACTGGTTAGCTTAGTGGCTAGAACGTCTGGACGCCGCAGGTTATCCCAGCAGGCGCCGAAAAATTTTGCGATAGTTTTATCTACACATTTTTAAGTTCTATCTGAAATTCTGGGGCTAGCACTAAAAATTAAAAGTTCAATTTCAGATGACATGACGAGGACTCGGACTCGAGTCTCGACAATTTGATCGAAGCGGAGGACGAAGAACAAGATCCGGACGTCGAATGACAGGAGCCGACTATTGTCATTCTAACGCCGTGTGACGTCACGAACCACAGCAATTTAAAAAGAAAACGTGCGGCTAAATAACTCGGGACCGACGTAAAGCTGTTAATGTTGTGACGCAATTTTTATATCACTTACCTTAGGGTGAATATATCTCAAATATTAGACGCAATAAATAGAGCCCTTGAATTGATAGCTTAAAACATCATAACATAGAGAATCGGCATTGATCCCTAAGAATTTATAATATCTCTTTTATTTAAACCTTACGTAATAATGTGTGCGTCTTATTTAGATTGGTGTATATCTAAAATGTTCCATACATACCCGTTTAGTGCACTATTACGAAAATTATGTATTTGGATATAATTGTAAAACAATTAACAAAAATTATAATCGTTGAAAAGTAGCTTAAGAAGCTTATATTTGACGTGCTTACAAGACTTGGCTTTCCTTAGATACAAGCAATAAAATATGTAAAATTAATGCGTGCCGTAATAAATAGATATACTTTTTAATAGATTTCGTATAATATAAAAGATTTGGGAATAAATATTCATTAATTATAGTGAAAAAAGAAGGCCATTTCTTTACTATAAAACGTATAATTTACGTAGATGTTTCGATATTTCGCAATTTTCCGTCCATTCTATGTAATAATGGCGTTGTGCATAATAAATATCATTGTTTTAATCTACGCATTCTTAAAATTCAATAGTAGAATTGTCAATTTATTTCATCTTATAGCATATCGTTAAACAGCAATAGGGTTTTTATTTCCACACAACGCGTACACTAGGTACACCCGCGTTCCAGGGCGGTTCTCACCGCCCCCAGCCACCGACTAAAGAAGCACAGTCCACGGCCATCGGAGTCACGGTCCGCACCGAACCTCGATGGTCCATAGGCGACATGCCATAATTAACGCACGCACGAGTACATGCGCGGCCCTACCCACTGAAGAGGGCCTCAAACCCATGGGTTCTGGCTAGCCCATCGATTCTGCGTTCGATGAAGCTTTAATAGTCTAAGGACTGAAAGCGTAACATCAGTTATACAAAAAAAAACAAAAAGGTTATATTTTAACATTAAAATATATGTATAAAACATTTCTTAATGTGACTGTTGAGTTTTTTTATTGAAGTATTAGTAGATTAGATTCAATTTAAAAGTAGTGTGAACTACGAAGGCTTAGTTTTTATAACATATCCTTTGTCTATGTCATGGTGCCTAACAAAAAGAACTAATTCCAAAAGGTATAGATTGACGAATTAGATTCGACTTCAGCGTCGACTTGTTTTTATAGAACATCGAGCATAATCCATGACGCGGTCTCGTACGCCAATCATTTTGTTTTTTATTTTCTTAGAAATACCAGTCTCAAACATGTGCACCGACGTTTTTCATCAAAACTTGGATATAATTTGCCATATCTATCTACTTCATCACATTTTAAGAAAGATAACCCAAATATACATAACAATTGCAAAATGTATTGCTGCCCGTATTTGCCCTTATTCGTAACCAGTATACCCGCTTATGTTAGTGTTAATAAATATTACTTGATTAATATTAGGTTAAGTTAAAAAAAACTATCGAGTAGGTCACATTAAGTAAATTAGCGTACCTCTAAGTATAGGTCGAATGTGATATATGTCAATAATGTTTATGATACTAAATTTAAAATAATTGCATATTCTCGCTATTTATTTTGTAGATTGCATAACAAACAGTTTATATATATATATAGTGAGGTCGACGAGATTAAATTAAACCATTAAATCATTTGTGAACCGTTTTTTGGATTCAAAGTAGAACAACAATGCAAAGGATGTCTACCACAATAAATAAGATATTAGACACCGATTATGTTTATGTATAAAATGTTTTAGTGGGTTCATCACACAGGCGATGTGAAAAATATGCCCCACAGTTTTATTTATATTTAGTTTCCCATTCTTATATTGTCAATTGAATAAAATAATTATATAAAATCGTTAAGACTATAGTTTATTATTAATAATGCCAACTTTGTACATCGTTTAGATAACAATATAATAATATAATATTAGCCTTATAACCGGCCTATTGCTTAAATTTAACCCTAAAATATAATAGATCATGTCATTACAATGTCAGTTTGCAATAAAAATTCCGCTGAATAAATAATGTTTTATTCCGAAAATTTCCGCTAACATCTCTAACAATTTGTCATTTTTCCAAAAGATACATTCTATACAATTTTTCCGTTTCTTCGTCTTCAAATTTAGGGTTAAACTTCACCTCAATGACTTCTTTAAACCCTTCCTTGGTTGATGGTTCTTGATATTTATTTCTAATGACAAAAAATTGCATTAATTTAAGTAAACAGTTTATATTAACATTATATGCATTTACAAAACCGGTTAAATTCATATTATCAAAGGCAAGCCTCAACTGAGTATTCAACAAAAACATGGAATAAACTCTGTTTCAAACTGGTATTCCGTGTCGCAGAAGTATTTTAAAACGAAAATTCATACATATCATTATTTTATTTCAAAAATTGTTAAGCGAGCAGGCGGTTCACGTGATGTTAAGTGATTACCGAAGCCCATGGTCACCTGCAACACCTAAGGGATTGTAGACGCGTTGACGGCTTTTAAAAAGCGGGCTCCGGGAGCCTCACTCACTAGACGAAACGAGAAACATCCAGAACTACCGTCGGATCTTAATAATCCAAAACAATAGTTTAGCACCAACCAACTGAACTATCAGAGAATAATTACAGGCTTACTTAAAGGTGTGGAAAACGATGTCGTTTACGGGCAAATGCTTGATTTTCATGAGCTCCCTGAACTTGTTGTTATGCTGCGCATGCGCTTTGCTGGTCGTCATTTTAGCACAACGGCACTCGACCTTCATATCTTTTGCGAGCGTTAACCAACGCGCTCTGGACTCGACATCAGGGTTGGTGCTGTCAACGACAACACTTTTGCCTTGCTGTAAGAAAACCAACTACAAATGTAAAATTTTTGTCACTATTATTTTTGCAGAATTGTCAACAGACATCATGACATGTTTCACGGTAATTCAAGATCAAAATAATTTCTTAGGCCCATTAATTGAGTGTTGCGCTTTTTTTTTGCGAGAAACTGTGTAAATTTCTAAAAAAAAATTGATTAAGTAATTCAGTACAATTTTCTAAAGTTGAGTTAAATTAAGTGATGGTGTCCTGGTTACCGTGGCATAGATGGTAATATAGAAGCTGATTTATTGGAAAGTGATATTATTTTGAAACGTTTCCCACGTCTTTGTCGTAAATGATCTACTTCTTATCGACGATCAATCTTTTCAAAAACGATCCGGTTTCATTACTTTATACAGTAAATAGTAATTGAGTACACAATTTATTAGGTTTCGTTTAGTGAGCTCGTGTGGCTTCTAAATATCAAACTTTTTTATATACCCAGATTTTTTCATACGAGTCAAAACTGGTGTGTGTTCAATCCCCAGTACTTCAGCTACGTCATAACCACTAACACGCTGATCTTGCTCCACTTTTTTTAGAAATGGTATCGACATTATCCAGAACAGGACGACTAGATCGAGCTGCACCTTTGATATCAAAATTCCCAGAATGAAAACGCTTGAACCAACTCTGTGCTTCCCTTACTGACATTTAATTAGGTCGAACCTCCGGTTATTACAAATTGACTCTTTTGCTTACTAAACGAGTGATACGATGGCCTGACTATCCCTAAGTTTTGTCTTCTTAATTTCCCGCTCCGCAGAGCCACGTTCGTTGAGGCCAACTATTTAGACATTCTCATAAGAAACTGTTAGCTAATAACCCAATAGCGGTCAGGGAAGAACTAGAGACGGAATATGAAAGTTACGGGGTACATAAGAGTAAGCACTTTGTATTATAAAATACGCATATTTTTTATTTAGAAATTTCAAGGATTTCAATCTGACCGAATAAAAATTAATAATGTTCAAGGAAGGAAGTTTATCTTCTCCTTCCGAAAAAGACGAGGGCACCATATGGAAAAAGGGCACCATTCTGAAGTATCATGCGATTCAAATAATAATAGGAACTACAATAACCTAAACCTAAAATGGGTTTATTTTTTTTATTACTTAGACTCCACTGTCTCCATCTGACACCAGGCTGTACCTCATGAACCGTGATAGTTAGACAGTACAAATTTTCACAGATGATGTATTTCTGTTGCCGCTATAAGAAAAAATCCTAAAAAACAGAAAAAACAAATGTTTTTTTATATATACAGCGTGTCGTTACCATCGCGACAATAAATGAACACACGTCTAACGCTACTTGCCAATAATCATAAAAAAATATTAACGTTTAACAAAATCCATAATTTAAAAAAAATATTTTTCAAACAAACTAATTAAGTATAAAAGAAACAAAATTTGTAACATCCTATACAACTCGCGCCACAGCGTCGCATTACAAGCCTCTACTTCTAACAGTATGTTTTGTCTCATTTAAATTCATTCAACCCATTCATATGCTTTGTGACCTTTACAAATGAACTTTACGTTACAGTTTGATACGTAAGGGTGTTCTAAAATTCTTTGTTTTGTAAAATTTAATAACTCTGTAAATATTGATGTTTAAAGAATGTAAATGTGTAATACAATTTTAAAAAGTTGTCCCCTATATGTGTGTTCATTTATTGTCGCGATTGTAAAGACACGATGTATATATAATCATGTCTGTTGAATGGGAGACCCACTTAGGGCATCATGCAACAGACATGATTTTTTGCCGTTTTATAGATAATGGTACGTAACTCTTCGTGCGCGAGTCCAACTCGCACTGGGCCGGTTTTTTTTTTTTTGTTTTATTTAATAGTTTATTTATTTGGCCATAAAAGTAGTTGAAGTTTATTGTTTAGGGAGATTAAACTTATTGCAACAATCAACAAAGTAAAAGTTGTTGCATGATACAAGAATGCAAAGTTTATATCCGTTTAATAATTATCAAGACATAATTATCGTGATTATTTCATACACTGGTTTTCATACCATGGTTCAAAGAATACATAAATCTTATAAACATAAACGAGAAAATAATACATGGTAACCCACTGGTTACTGGTACTGGCTGCACTCAGTTTACACAATTTGCCAAGGGTGACACATAATTAATTTTCCATAAATTACCCTAAAAATGCATAATTTTGTATTCAGTAACATGAATTTAGTGTTTTCATGAATTAGCTTTTATAAATAATAAGTTAAGCAATAATGTAAAGAATAAACAACCTTTACCTGCAATATCCTGGTTGCTTCAGAAACACACTTTTGCCAAGAACCGAGTACATCTCTACACACAGCAACATATTTATATGATGACTTCTGTTCAATTTGCTTTGCAAGAAAAGATTTTCCACTGCCAGGATAACCCACAAGAACCAATATCTAAAATATAACAGATAAGTAGGAATAAGATTGTAAATATTTCTGTAATGATGTGTGAATAATTTTACATTAATTAATGCAAAAGTTATTAGTATTCTCAATTCATTGAAAATTCCAATGACAGCATGAATTATGAATAGTATGTATTTCTGACTTGTCAATATATGTATTGATTTATTGCATTAATAATTTAATTATAAATGAACATTTAAATTTCTGATAACAAAAGCATTATTTTATAAACCTTATGTTGAAAGTAATATTATTATTATAATACTTGAACTACATAATTAATTATACACATTATAGAACATGAAGATGCAACTGATAACTTATTACCGAAACAATAATAATTGCCACCTGACCATTAAATGAAATTATTTTACTCATTATTTAAGACTTACTTCTTTATCATTATTAATAAGATTGTTGTTGAAAGGCTCTGATACAATTTCTTTAGGGATAAAATCCGGTTTAGCCATCGGGACATTTGCAATAGAATGCCCCAGGAAAAATTCCTCTGGTGTGTAAAACTTAAGGCCCAAGTTTTCAGCCAACAACTTATCTGCCATTGAATGATCCTTTTTTTTACCTGGTGCCCAATTCGCAACTCTACCTGCTGCATCCCCACAGTAGAAGCTATTTAGCATATCTACTGGTAAACCATCATTTTTCTGTAAAACACAGAAAAAATATTCTAATACATAAGGTATGATAAAGCTAATGTAATAATGACCTACCTTATGTGTTAAGCACAATTTTTTTTTACATGATTTAGTGTAAGATAAGGTTATTATGTATAATAAATTAAGTGCAGGAAAATAAATTAAATTTAAAATATTTTACCTGAGGGAATGGGAGCTTTTGCTTCGATTAAACAATAAATTTAATTTTTATTTCTAATTATAATAATAGAAATTTTACATGAAATAAAATAAAGTACCTTTTCAGTAAGAGTTTTCCACATTCCCGGTGTGGGTTTCCTGTAAAAACCTTTACCTGTTGCTATATATACTTGAATAGGAACATTTATTTTGGTAACTAAATTTTCAATCTTTTTCTTAAAGTCCTCTATCTTCACTCTCCCCTTCCCAATAGGAGCTTGATTGCTTAGTATAACTATTTTATAGCCATTATCTATTTGATCTTTTAGTTTGCATGGTACAACAGGAAAAGCTAGCTGCCAATCATTTGTGTCAACTGGATGAACCTTTCCAGATTTAGTCTTTATCAATGTTCCATCCATATCAAAAGCAGCTATTTTATTACTAGACTTAACACCCTTAGATGTGTAAATATACAATTCCGCCCCGTCAATGGCCTCCCATGAATCCTCCATAGCTTCTTTTATATTGACATTAATTTCTATATCAACTAAAGGTTTGATACATTTCTTCTTTTTATGTGATGAGTCATCATCTTCTACTTTCCTTTTATTACTTTTTGGGGTAAATTTGTTAGGTGGCGGGTCAAATTCCACTACATGGATGTAATTATTTAATAAAACCTCAATTCTGCTCTCATGTCCCACTTTATAAGTACAATTTTGTTTTAAGGCAAATCCGTCCAAACCGGACGGATTTATTCCTAATTGCTTAACCTCTACTACGTACTCATCGTAATTGGCTTTAAGACAAACTGAAAGACGGACATCAAATTTAGAACATAATTGGTACTACTCACATTAGCATTATGTATTATAAACTTACTTTGTTGGCGAGAACATAACTGATCTTTTATTTTTGTAATTTTGCTCCGACCTACAAAAATTTCAACGTTATGCGGCAAATGAATAGGCGCATGCGAATCAAGTAAACATTTGAGAAAACATAAGCGACCCATTATATGCACTATTAATACGTTTAGAATATATTAAAGTATTTCATCACAATTAGAAACATTTCATATGCAATAAAGAAACATTATGGATTAAAAAAATGTTTTGTTTTGTTTTTGACGTAAATTATTATATTTTAAACTTTATTCAATACAAATTTATTTGAGTTCTATCAAAATACCGTTTACCTTAATTTACCTGATCTGTCACTGTCATTGTCAATTGTCATTGTACAATAACGATGGTCGTTGAATCAACGAACTAGTTGAATCAACCGTTGATCTCTTGTTAACGAATTAACTTTAACTGTCATTGAATTCAATTAATTGAATTCGTTAACGTCGTTTCGGAAATTTTGTCGTTGAATCAATTCATTTAAAAACGCAGTCAACGATATCTTAAGGAACAATCTTAATAAATTGAAAACCTTACGTTGAAAATAACGTCACAGAGTTGAGTTGAAATGTTTGTTTAATTTTATGAAGGACATGTTTAAGTTCTTTATTTTTTTATTTTCGTTTGAAAGTTTGTGAATAGTTGCGCGCGTTAAGGTTATATATTATTTAGCGGCTTTGCGTAAATATTATCAGAACTTTACTGCATGATTAGTGTTTTTTTTTGTGAATTTTGAATTAATTATATTTGGAATTTTATTTTATTGTTATTATTTTGTTTATCAGAATTTTACTTTATGGTTAGTGTTTTTTTATTTTTATTTATGATTATTTAAGTGTATATATGACTGTGGATGGATACAAAATTCAAAATGTTTGGACGTAATAACAGTGAATTATGGTTTCATACCTAAAAAGACAATTCTAGCGGGAAAGCTATTTCTAATGTATGCAAGGAGAAAATATCGAACAAATTGACTACTTTAAATTTAAAAAGTTCAATCTTTAAGTCTTTAAGTAATCCGCTTGTATCGGACCCTAACCCACTCTGTTTCATGCCAGGAACAATCTAAAATATCATTGTCTTAGTTCTGTGCCCAACCAGGAGATTCCGATGCGAGTGGAACCGTCAAGAAATCCGTATGGTTGATTTTGATAACAAAAAAAAAATAGTCTAACAAGAAAAAAATTAATTCAGATTTGTTAGATTTATGCATAAATAGCTTTCATCCGTTTTTTCTAGTAGAAGAAAGGGCTTGCAATTTAATATACTTATGTGTCATGTTAACTAGCTGACGAACATGAAACAACGTTAACGTTAAGTTGACGAAAATACCTTCAACGACCCATCGCTATGTACAAAGTTTTGTCTTTTATTGTTATTTTAACGTCGTCGGATTTCTTTATACCGACAATTCATTACCGCCCAACCCAAAGAAATGGGCAAAGAGAATATAACCACTACGTTTACTGGAAATGGGGGGTAAAGATTAGGAGAACTGTCTCATATGAGGCTATAAGTATCCAGCTGTATGCGGAGTCCCTTTGTCTGTGAATCGTCTGTTTGTTGAGATGAATTTAAGTAACCAGTAACCATGGTAATTAGTAACCAATGCACAGTTATGGTCCAAAGATTACTAGTAAATCACGCTACCGTAGCGCCCCTAATTAAACGTCTTTCAGCGGGCATTTCTTAGACACAGAAATTATTCTCCTTAGCCCTATCCCAAGGACATTAATCAAATAGAGCACTCATTCGGGACCAATGATAGGTTATAAGTTTATGAGCAGACTCCAAGCATAATATTATTGGAAAATAAGTTTATTACTATTTGGCCAATATTCGATTTAAAAATATATTGTACGAAATATAGACGGGAGGTAAACTCTTACATAATTAAAAACATCTAAATTTAAATTCTGTGTACTGGATTAACAGAAGAATATATTTCTTTTACGAGGACTTTATAATCAAAAAAGTATGCAGTCACTGAAAATTATTACAATACAAAACTGAACCAATTATGCAACGTACGGTTAACGTAAGATCAGTAAGATTTACTTTATATCTCAAGCCCAATGGAGGCTAATCCAGCGGAGAGACAGCTTGCGGGCGTTCTCGCTTTCTAAGGCTTGCCATTACCAAGAATGTAAATCTTTAGTAGCTAAGCCTTATGCTTAATAGAAAGACTCTAAAAAGTACCTACCTAAATTTAACTAGTCATATATAAAATTACTTACTTAAGCCGTAAATGGTACTAATAATACTTATACACAATCTAGTTACAAGCAATCCATATTGCTATACAATAGAAAACTTACTATCCTAGACAGTAGACACTTTATTTTGGACTATTGACAGCACCGTTGCTGTTGCATCATGGTATTTGTAAATTATGGTACTTCAATTTTGATTGATTTTGTGTTTAAATTGAAACTTCGTTATTCCGTAGTATTATTCAATCAAGAAATGAGCCGAGGGAGATAAAGAGGACAGACGCCATTTGTCCTTTTCTTTAAAGTTGTCCATAATTTTATCTAGAGGTTTGTATGAATTACCTTGCAATGTTATGCCCTCTAGCACGATAAGATTGGATACCCTGTGTGGGTGGTAAATTTAAATTAACAAGTGCTTCAGAACTTTTGATATAAAGCGATTATTCAGAATTTTCACGTGACTTTAACCAATAGTCTTTGTTATTTAACGAAATAAGGCTATATGTGATGTGCACCTACCACTTCTAAAGTTTAAGACTATTCTAAAATTTTGAGCAATTTGTAGTGACTATTCCGAACCAATAGAAGTATTTAATTTCGTATTTTAATGTGTAATCCTTATAGTCGCAATAATGGTTGCAAAACAAATTTCTATACTTTAAATAATACAAATTAAATATCTCTTAAAAATGGAGACAGACTACTATATTTTCCTAAAAACTTACTTAGCCAGCCAACTGCGAGTTGGACTCGTTCACGTAGGGTTCTGTACCATTATCTTTCAAAACGGGAAAAAATTAAAAAGAAATCTGATTCAGATACGGTTTTCAGAAAAAGCGATACGATCCATCTTTACATAATTCTAATACAATACAAAATTCTACCCTGGTCTGTCAGGCCAAAGAGTGTGACACATTCCTTCTTTACGAATGTGTCACAGTGTCAGGCAGGCTCAAGGCTAAACTGTCAGGGTGTCGTGTCTATGTAATTAGGTATTTCCATATTGCATTTGCCGTACATTCAAAGTATTATTTTTATAACATAAATGAAAAATGTGTTATTAGTAATTAGTTTCCATTTGCTTAACCCGAACGTCCAATCTTTACTGTGAATTGGTTCTGCTAGTAGTAAAAATTAAGGTAAAACTATACGTATTTCACTGACGTGTATAATTTCAATTGGCAAGTAAAAGTGTTTAAAAAGGTTTTAATTATTTTCAGGCGCTATATGCTTTAATCATGTCACTAACTAAACGTAAACGTTCTGAAGAAAAGGAAGAACTAATAGAAAATGGTGATATAACATTTAACGGGGGACGTAGTAATATTAAAGGCGATGAAATAAATATAGCCGTTTTACTGTTTCTTTACACCCTTCAAGGCATACCTTTAGGGTTGGCAGGTGCGGTGCCCATGTTGCTTCAAAACAGAGGCATAACATATACACAACAAGTAAATATATTTTTTAAAGCAGTTATATCAATAAAAACTTGTGTGATAATATATTTCTTATTTTGTCTGTAAGTTAGCACTAAAAGTGCAAATAAATGTTATATTGTTATTTCTTATAGGCAGAATTTAGTTTTGTCAATTGGCCATTTAGTGTGAAACTACTTTGGGCACCAATAGTTGATGCTCTTTTTTGGCCGGAATTTGGACGACGTAAAACATGGCTTGTACCAGTACAGTATCTTATTGGGATTGTTATGATAGTAATGTCCAGGAGCATTACGGAATGGTTGGGATCAGAAGAACATGCTCCTTCAATGATGCTGTTGACTATATCTTTCCTGTTCCTCAATTTTTTGGCCGCTACACAGGATATTGCCGTGGATGGATGGGCACTTACTATGTTAAAAAGGTATAACTAATATATCTCTTTTTTATTGTTTTAATCCATTTTCATTTAGGTGGAGATACTTCAATTTTGTGAAAAATAGTTAATGAATTGCTCAATTTAATATTAAGTAAACCTGCGATTTTTTTTATTTTGTTGATATGCAGATTGTAAGGTAAAATATAATAAAAGAATAAAATATAGGAAATATAAAAAATATATTACTTTATTAATAAATTTTACTATATGTCGCCCCTGCAATGAGAGCTTCTGGCTCCGCATTTTCATATTCAATCTAGGAATAGGGATCACAAGACCACATGGAATTGAGATGCTCTGTATCTGATCTGACTTTCTACAGCAGAAATAACAGAAACACAGCAGAAACTGTTAAATACCACATACCACATATATTGTATATTATGTTCAATAAGAGCTTTAATTAAGCCTATATTGAATAAAGATACTTTGACTTTATATACAAGTAGTTCTATGTAAAACTAGTATAATGCTTGTAACTAGTTAATACATCTAATTAAAATTCTTACAATAAAAAAATCTTTTTCCAGGTGTAATGTTGGTCATGCTTCAACTTGTAATACTGTTGGCCAAACAGCTGGTTTCTTCCTTGGATATGTTATGTTTCTAGCTTTAGAATCCCCATACTTCTGCAATAAATATTTGAGGACCATTCCAGAAGATACCGGCTTGGTTACTTTATCCAGTTTTCTTTTATTTTGGGGGTGGGTTTTCATTGTAACCACAACTGTTGTGGCACTATTCAAACATGAAGCAAATGATACAGTTAACACTAAAGAAAATGAAGTTAAAGGAACAAATGATATAGTAAATGCCTACAAACAGTTGTTAACCATTGTGAAACTTCCAGCTGTAAGGACATTGACTTTAGTACTTTTTACAGCAAAGGTAAGACTTATGTATATTTAAGATTTATCTCTCTATCAATGCCATAAATATTTGTCAACAATATATTTATATCAAAAATAAATAATATAAAAAGTTGGATTCCTAAATAAACTATTTGTTTTACAAATTTTTTACATACTATCTTGCAGCTGGGATTCTGTGCAAGTGATGCTGTATCAGGATTAAAACTAGTTGAGGCAGGTGTGCCTAGGGAGGACCTAGCATTACTTGCAGTCCCATTAGTGCCTGTTCAAATTATAATGCCTGTGGTATGTACGCTATGTGTAATTTTCATGTAATATATAAAATTACAAATTAGTATTAACATATAATTAAAACAAATATATTAGAATTACAAATCAGTGGAGTTCATTGCGTTTATTTTAAACATAAATTCCTGACTTTTTGAAGAACTTTCTGTGGACACTGGCCAGACTAAGTCACGGACAATAACACTTAATAATGTTAAAATACTGTTAAATTATTAATTGCTATTAAAAAAAAAAGCAGAAGGAACCATGTCTTGTATTTTAAACATTGAGTATTTAAGTTTATAATAAATGCAATAAATTCATAAAAATATTTAAATAATGATAAAGAATTACATAGACAGTACCATATAATATATGGTAAACCTAAAAAATAATATTAATACTTTATGGCCCTTATTTTTATTTCCAGATCCTATCAAAATATACAACAGGTCCAGCACCATTATCGCTGTGGCTGCGCGCATTCCCATTGCGACTACTAGTAGGCCCATTAGCTGCAGCACTTGTGGCTTTAACTCCCAGCCTACTAGGGAACTCTGGGCCTTCCTACTTTTACCTTTTTATCTTAATGTGCCTGTATGTCTTCCATCAGGTACGTTTCGTGATTGATGTGGAATGAATGTAGAAAATATGGTATTTCCAAAAAATCAAAATTCTACTGGCATTGTACTGTTTACATTGAAAAAAAAAAGGATGTAATTCCTATTTTTCTAGATCTAGGAAAGCCGAAAACTTGTGTAATGGATTTCATGCCAATATTTCAATAAAAGAACTTTAATGTAAATAGGAAAAAAAAAACATTCTATACAGTATGGTCTTTGGATTTATAGATTTGTTTTCAAGAAAAAATTAATCTTCACTGTAATGATCATATAAATAAACAGTATATTTATTTAATTTCAGACATGTCTTTACTGCATGTTTGTTGCGGTAATGGCTTTCTTTGCTAAGGTATCAGATCCAGCTGTAGGTGGCACTTATATGACGCTGCTAAATACAGTTTCTAACTTGGGAACCAATTGGCCAAACACACTGGCCTTGTGGGCTATAGACCATTTGACTTACAAGAAATGTTCATTAGTGGAACTTAGTGACAATACATGTTCATCATCATTGGAAACAGAAGTAAGTATGATAATATTATATTAAGTTCTTACATATGAAATTAGCGTTTTAACACGAACCATTTTTGATCACAAGTAACAATATGATTCAATATTACCTCTTTATTGTGACGGTTGAGTAATGCAACGCAGGACTAAATGCGTGTTTGTTTGTATGCTTCATTCAATTGACTTGGTACCCATTTTTCGAGCTTAATCATTTTTCCAATTTATATTAAGTGAATTAAAAATATTTTGTTACTCACACCTAAGCCTGCCGCTAACTCCAACGCGGCTTGTTCATTGTCAATTAGGGTCTCTGGTCGTCCAGAGGGTTTATTCTTTAGGTCAAAAATTCCAAAACGAAAACGGACCAAAATCGTTTTACAGAAATTTCTTCATACACATCATTAAGCGATCATCAATCTTCAAGCTGTTTCTGCTGTGTTGGTGCCACGGTGGGATTCTCGTATCCGTAAAAAACGGGATATTCTAAGTTTTCCATATTGTCCACAAATGAAGCACTAACTTCGAAACACAAATATACAAGGCTAAATTAAAAGTAAACTTGCATTTGACCAAATGCCAGATATTTAAGACCTGTAGCCAGTTCGACAAAACGCTTAATTCATATTTAAGTAATCTAACAAAGATATAAGTAACAAGGTACAATGTCACTCAAATTTTGTGTTAAAATTGCACATTAAACTATAAATTATATTTTTACTGACTTTTAGCTCTGCAAGGAAAAAGGAGGCACGTGCGACGTAATTTTTGACGGATTCTACATAGAGACAGCCATATGTTTAGTTGCTGGTTTCTTATGGTTGCAATGGGGCCGCTCGACTATAAACCGCCTTCAGAAACTTCCACCATCTGCCTGGCAAATAGGCAGGCTCGGCAGATAAGACTGAAATCTCTCTTTGGAATTTCTTAGTTTAATTAACTCCATGTACCATTAACATATTTAGTCAATTAATGAATACCAAGCTAGTTGTTACTTTCATTTCAATATATTTGTTTTGAAGTTGATCGATAATTACTCTTAAAATGTACTGGAAAGTTATCCATTTTAACACTTTTCCATTTACTTTTTATCAAAAAATACTTTTTTGGCCACTATGTGAACCCACTTTGATTTCCGCTTTTAAAAATGTATTTTTGTAAATGTATTTATGTACTTTGAATAATCTACTTGCAATTATTGAGTAGAAAACTCAAAACTCAGGTATACATGGTTCTCTCTAAAGAACTTGCATGGAAAATAATATATTTGCCTTTCACTTTCTGCACTGCACAAGTACAGTCATATTTATAGTACTGCTGTCATGCTTGGCCCAGAGCAAGCAAACCTTTTAATGGTTTTGTACTCTTTAAGTGGAGAACCCTGCGAATATACTAATTAGTGAGGCCCATTAGAACTCATCCTCACATTAATGATACATGAATACAGATACTGAATCTTTAGAATGCTTCTTCAGTGTTCTCATCTACATTATTTAATTACGTACCCGCTCTTCCACTTTTGGATGACTAGATGTATCTTCAAGTTAGATAAGGTTTTAATTTGTATACAATTTACAGCTACATTGTAAATTACTTTTAGTCCTGCTTATTATGAGAAAAATGTTAAGAAGTCAATCCAAAATGATAAATATGTATGTGATTTGAGAATGCAAAACATATTTATTTTCCAACAATTTTTCGTCTTTTGGAAGGCTCTATAAGCGGCGACTAGAAAAAAACCATGGCTATAATCCATTGGATTAGTAATTTTTAGGCTAATTGATGTATTATAGTATAATAATTTAAACCACTGGATTGTGATATATTGTTTAGACTACTATCATTAAATGATATTCTTTTTGACATGTTTTGTGTGTGCCCTTATTTTCAAATAGTACAAATTCACTTGTTTCTTTTAGGATTAATTTTTAAGTTATTTATGTATTGCAATTGATAAAGAAGGAAACTGAAATAAAACTTGTTTTTTCATATTTATTCACATCAACACAACTATAATTCACTATTATACAATATATACCAGTAAATAATATTTGTATATTAAAGAGTATTGTTACATTCCCATGGCTTATTGGATCATGTTTATTGTAAACGCTCAAACTTTAGCATTAAATAATTTATAGTATATAACAAAGGGGCTAGTTTAATAAAATATACTTTAGAAGATCAACATTGTAAATAACAAGGTTTTAATAATAAATAACTCTAGGATAATTTTAACAAGCAATGTGAATCAATGCAACAGTATAATATATTTTACAAATATTTTATTTGTCCCTAAGAAAAATTTGTATTGTAATAGTTATTGTTATATGTTTAGGAGTTTATTTATGTTTTTTTAGTTGAATTTCTTGGTTGTATTGTATTTTTTTATTCAAAATATTCCAATTAAGTTTACCTATTAGTACATTATTATAGACTTTTAAGCAAAAACAATCTCATAACCCATTAGAATGCAAAATATTTATAGACCATTAGATGCAAATTTCCAAAAAATCCTCTTTGGAATATTTTCACTATACCGTAGATTGATCTAAAAAATTGCGAGTTATAAAAAAAAAAATGCAAATTTCCAAAAAATCCTCTTTGGAATATTTTCACTATACCGTAGATTGATCTAAAAAATTGCGAGTTATAAAAATTCATCCTTTTGCATTTATTTACAGTTGTATTATAGCATATATATTTATTATCCAAACAAATTTTTTATGTTATGTCAAAAACGAACTCACATTGAGGAACATTTAATTTCAATGCAAAATCCAATGTATTGTACCGAAAATGTATTTAGATACGTAATTAAGTGCAGCAGTATGACTATATTCTGAATTGATATTTTTAATGTGAAATATATACATATTTATTCATAGTAATACTAATTTCTTTACTAGACAATAAAGTTTTATTAAAATGTTCTCTTTCAATACTTATAATCTTCAAATATACAAGTCCGCTATTAGCGACAGAAACAAGCCATCGATTTGTGCGCTAAAGGAAAACAATCTCGTGTTTTCTCAAATGCATATTATTTGGTAAAATTTGTCAGAAGTCTTCTAAGCGTGTTTTATTAATAGGCGCTTTCATTTTGCATACTCTTTATCTCCATTTAGCAGCATATAGTGGTAGCTCATTGTGGATTATATTAAGATATTTACACACTAAACACGAAGTGGTTGCTAAATTGAGTAAATTTTTATGATGAACACACCATCCTGTGCTTTAAAAAATGCGAGTAGGTACTACTGTCAATTTCGTTATGGTTATCAACTAATTAAACATTAGGTTGATATAAAATGGATACACTTTAAGCTTTAGTTGCAATTGTCAAAAATCCGTAGAAACAATGAATACCAGGTCAAGTCGTAAACAATGATAACATTCATATATTTGAAATTTGATTTGATCTGATTTGCTCGAACTAGAGAGCATTTCAAATGTTTAAATGGATAATGTTTTTACAAAAAGGAAGGGATTCGCTCATCACATCTGCGTATTATCCACATCAACATCTATCAATCGGTTTCGCGAGGAAAGCACTCGAAGCGACACCGATCCACACCATCCAGCTACCATCATCTCGAAGTGATGCAAGTTAAATCCAAAATTGAAGTTTGTGCCTTCGGGAAGAAAAAGGGGTAAAACATATCGGGGCTGTTTATCTATTCACCGTCCCAGAAAGCCTTAAAGCCGTGCGGCAGTTTACAGTTTGGCGAATGGTCGATGTGTGATACTTCGCAGAAAGGGGTAAAACATATCTCGGGGTTACTGATCTATTCACCGTCCCCGAGCGCCTCAAAGCTGCTGCGGCAGTTTACAGTTTGGCGAATGCGAATGGTCGAGGTGTGCTACTTCAGACAGAAAGGGGTAAAAAATATCTCGGGGCTGTTGATCTATTCACCGTCCCCGAGCCAGTGCAGCAGTTCACAGTCGAATGCGTATCAATCGCCGTACACCGAACGGCGCTTAGCGGACGCGTGGGCATCACGGCTCGCGCCTGGCGAGCTCGTCGTCGCATATGATCGGTCTGCGGTCGTCGCCCTTCGAGCCGCGCGCTAGACGCCCCACGCGGCGGGCTATCGCGCTCGTCTTGTCCACCGCGCCCCAGCCGCCGCCGTGGCCGCCCCCGCTGCCAGAGCGCGACAGCAGACCGGTCACGCCCTCGCCCAGCTTGCTGTGGTGGATCCCGTACAGGAAGTAAAGCAGCAGGCCTGCGGGACGCGCGTACACTTTAATGCGACCGCTGTGTCGATTGTCGTTTAATTCATCGTCGGATATTACAACTGTCGTCTACGACCACTGTGTAGATTGTCAACAGCTGAGTCGGAAGGATATTATCCGTCGTTTTTTTTTTGTATTCTATTTGTTCGATAACATCGTTTGGATTTCAGTCCTTTCACTTAGATCAAAGCATAAATTTTGTTGCGGCTATAATCGTTTATGCGAAACTGAAACTAAGTAGAAGGGAATGAACTGAAGAATTGACTAAATTTCTTGCAACAAAATACCAATAAGCATTAGTACGACTGAAAAATATTGCTTGCTTAAAGGAGGTGGTCCTATAAGGAAGCTTTAAAGGTTTATTTATACAATACATTTTACCTGTGTAAATCTTAAGTGCTTAATTAAATATTGCGAAATAAAACAGGAAAGTGAGGTCCATCATAAATTTTGAACGCATTCACGACTCTCACCTTACCGGGATAAGCGGAGGTTTTCAACACTCTTAATTTTACCAAACTTATTAAGAAAGTACCTAATATACGCCATATGTCTGAGATTATAATTATACTAAGAAAGATTACATGCCATTTTATTTTCACCGTATAGTTTAGAGGAAAAAGCATATTACCAATAGTCATCCATATCGCGAAGCGCGCCCATGTGAGTGCCTTCAAGTTGACCATTAGCTCGACGTTGAGCATGACGCTAGCGGCGGGCAACAGCGGTACCCAGGGAACGCGGAACGGCAGTCGGGCAGGGCTCTGCTGGTGCGCCCAGATCACGAACAGACCTGTAAATTACATTGGAACAATACTTTCAACTGTCAATAAATTGTCTCATATTTTAACCTTATAGTATCGACGTCCTCCTGCCCGTTCCCATCTAGGTCGGCACAACATGAATCATGTTGTTTGTTGTTAGTGATACTGGCTATATTTCTTATGCCCTGTCACCTGCCTAACAACAACCCTTGAACCCTTCTTGAGAATAAATACCCAGACCCGGAACAATTTATGTGTGGGGTCTCAATAAACTCCTGTCCAACCCAGGACTCCAATGTCAAAACCAATAGCTTAGCTACTGCGTCACCGAGCCATCCTTTAAGAGTATACGAAGATAATTCATTTCAACGACGATTCAGCGTTAAGGTGACCAGATTGATATACCTTCGTCAGGCACAATTAATTCGTGATTCTTGCACAAAATATTACGAAAACGTAAGTAGGCCAATGGGATCCGCACACGAGGCATTAGTTCCGAAAATAGACATACCGTTCTGCAGTTCCATAAACATTTTTGTATTTCAATTAGACAGTATTAAATATAATGTGTATAGGTGACCCATATTTACATTACTCACATAAGTAAGTTATATATAGTACTTATATCAAAATCATACCATTTTGGAAAGAGTTCAGTCATTTGCCTTCAATATCAAATCAAGGCGTGAGAAATAAAAAAAATAGTCCACTAGCAGAGACACTTACATGCAATTATGATGAAGCTCAATATAAAGTCCGGTAGAAGCGCCCAGAGACCGGCGGGTTCCGCCAGAAAGTGGTTGTGTACGCAGAGGGCTGCGGCGGCCGCGGTGAAAACGTACACGCAACCCGATACTGCGCTTCCGGGCGCTCTGCCACCAGCCAGCGGCTCCAACCACGCATACTGCGGCCGCAGACGACCCACTGTCAACGCCTCGAACATCTGGAATGGTTAACATTTCAGCGCTTTATCATAATATCTAACAAATATGTGTGAGCCATGGACGCAGCCAAAGGGGTTTAGAGGTTCAACCCCCACCCCCCACCCCACTCCTTAAATATTCAGAATATTACAAAAATATTATTTACTATGGGGGGGTACTAAAATATGATGACTCTTCAATTTGAATCCTTGAATATTCAATGAAAACACTAAAGGTCAAAACTATGAAGCGCAGCAGGAAACATAAATGTGTAAGTCAGTCCACATAGTTTAGTACGCTAATCCATATGAAAACAAAATTACCAATTTGGCGAAAATTAATATTTCTCAAGGAATAAGTTATTAAGAAAATGTTAGTATGCTGTTTGCTTTTTTTTTACACAGACTTTCCTGCTTCGAGGGTGACATTTTGTGGTGTGAGGAACTACGCCTGCTTAGTCAGGAAATGATTGGTAGTGTAATGTTTTTTGATATTTACCTCGGAAGACGAAGATCCTCCGTCGGTTCCTGGAGTGCCAGTTGCAGAGCTGTCTTCGCGATCACATGGTGAATCCAGTTGTGGAACTCCAAAGCTTTTCTCATCCACGGTTGGGGCCGGCCTGTATCGCAGAATTATCACGGCGGCACTTACAATAGTGTACGCAAGGAGCGTGCCAATTGACATGAACTCGACCAATTTCTCCAAATCGAATAACAGGGCTATCAATGCCGATGAAAATCCGGAAATAACGAGATTGGATATCGGGATTTGGGACTTGTTATTGCTCATATCGCTCAGGAAACCGAACAATAGGCCATCAACGGACATTGCGTATAAACAACGAGGCAAAGAAAACAATGATCCTAATAAGGTGGTTGTCATTCCACAGACCGCCCCAACTGCAACCGCGTATTTCGCCCAGTCGGCGTGAACTGCACCCAATGCGGCAGGCAACGCGGCGTCAGGATTGATAGTATTATACGGCACCATGAGGGTCAGGGCAATAGCAACAAGAATGTAACCAAAAGCGACCATACCCATGGACAATATAGTTGCTATGGGGATAGACCGGGACGGGTCTTTCGCCTCCTCGCTGGAGGCAGAGATACTATCGAACCCGACGAAAGCATAAAAACATGTTGCAGCACCAGCCAGTACACCACTGAATCCATACGGCATAAAACCCCCATTTTTCTGCGACCAGTTGGTAATATCGGCGTAGTAGAAACCTAGGAAAATTACAAGAGTTATAACCAATAGGTTTAAAATAGTGAGACCGTTATTAATGTATGCAGACGTTTTAACGCCAACAGCCAATATGAGGGATGCAACTATGCAAATCAGAAAGGCTAGCACATCAGGATATCGACTCAGAAGCGTTTCGTGCATTTCACCAGTTACAGATATGGTCGCATTGCTTATCGCCCCGTCGAACATTTCGTCTAAATAACCCGACCAGGCTCTAGCCACCGATGCCGCACCTAAAACAATTTAAATTTAAGTAAATAATCAAACTATGATTCATTAATAATTTGATTGTTTTATTTACATCGTTCGATTAGTTAAATAATACGCAACGCTTACCTATCATATATTCTAAAACAATGTTCCAACCAATAATGAAAGCCCAAAATTCGCCAATGCTGACGTATGTATAGGCGTAAGCACTCCCGGCCCTGGGTATTCTAGTTCCGAACTCCGCATAACATAAAGCTGCGAGGGTCGACGTTATACCAGCGAATAAGAAACTGAGAGCCGTTGCTGGGCCAGCCATATGACGAGCCACAGTCCCCGTTAAAACATATATTCCAGCTCCAACCATATGTCCTACTCCTGGAAACATCACAATATTTTTGTAGAAAAACAATAGTTATAATGCTGAGATATTAAATTTATCATTCAATTCGTTTCTTACCCAATAGTGTGATATCAAAAGTAGTTAGGCAGCGATTTAGTGGAGTATCTAAGCAGTCTCCATGTAGGGGCTTACGTCGATTCATTTTGTGACAAAAGCCAGATAGCACATGGCCCAAAATTTTGTGCCTGGCGCCTGGCATGATGCTTTCTACCGAATAGAAACGTATTTATTATTACTTCGCACAAAAAAGTTATTAACAAAAATGTCCCTTCACAGTAATGTATTTTTATATTTGTAATTATTACTCAAATAAAATTTATTATTTAAACCTTTAATTATAGGGTCATGGACTAAATGAGCTTGAAAGGAAATAAATAAAGTGTACTGATATTATACAATGATGTAAAAGGTCTCTGATTTATTTGTCTTTACAGACTTTTAAAACATTTTGATATAATATAATGATGTACGAGACATAAGTAATGTTAATATATATTTGACTTGATCTTTTACTCACCCACTTTTTTATTTCAGGCAGCTGACGATGTTTTCAGTGATTCAGTCTTAGAGTAAGCTCAGATATGGATGGAGCGGCGCGCGCATCCAATCGATTATATAAAGGGACGTCATATTATTTACGTTATATGTAGGTAATGCACGGGGCAAATACTTCAAGTTTAATATATATGCTAAATATATGAGAGCGAGGTTTTCTAATGGAGGAATTAAGTATATGAATTGAATTGAATGCCACATTAAGTCTCAGAATAACTGTACAAGCGACGTGAAGAATTTTTGATACGATAACTTTGCACTGTTATTTCATTTGATAAAAAATGAAAGAGATACTATAAGCAAAATATTATAACGTTAATTAATTGAATTATGAGTTGTGTTCTCTTTGAAACTCACAAAGGTATAAGTCTGCCCAACCTGTTGCTTACTCGATAATAGGTACACAGTCATTTGTTGTGTGGTTACTGACCTGAAAATAGTGAACTAATTCTACCTCGGCTGACCTAATTTTTTCAAAAGCATGAGTTTGGATGTGCTCCATAGTACTTTTTTAATATTAGATGTAGGTTAGGTATAACTATAACACTGTATTTCAATTCCAAAACGCTTGACGATTTTGATATTATTTTGTCCTAATTCTTTCCTAAAAACTTTATACATATTTTAATTTTTATAACTGTATCTTAAGGATATCTGTTACTAATATGCCGTAATTTATAAAGAGCTGCTGAAGAAAAAAGTCCTATACGAATAAAGCGAATATTTAGAGAGAATGTGTAGTCTATATAATTGAAATCTAGTTACATTAATTAGCGTAATTTGAGTCAACATCGGGTTTCGGTGCGATAGTGTCATATGTAAACAAAGCTTCAATGTGCTTCCATATATCCAAAGTTGCTAGTAGGCTGAAGTTCTGAATATTTAAAAAAACATTGGAGAATAGTAACGAATGAACTCTTTTGCATCAGGCTCATACAATAGCCGTGATAGCTGTGTCCGGTCCTCGCCTTTAATTCCATATACTCGAGCAACCTGAGATCACGCGCTCAACGGTTTTTGATGACTCCGTGGCGCAGTTGTCAAGGTATTGGCTTCGGCGTCCGGGGTCGTGGATTCGATTCCCACACGGGACAACTATTTTTGTGACCCACAGATAGTTGTTTCGCAACTGGGTGTTTGTCCGCGTGAATTTTATGTTTGTAAAACGTCCCTACAACACAGAATAATGTTATAAAGGGCAGTATTTAAAAAAAATTAAAAAAAAACGGTGAAGGAAAACATCGTGAGGAAACCTGCATATTTTCGAAATAACAAAAAAAATGTTTCGAAGATATGTGAAGTTCGCCAATGAGTAATGTCATCGTCTGCATACATTAATACCTTCTGTAAAAAAGCGGAGGGGAAAGAGGAGGCCTTTTCCCAGCAGTGGGATATGTATAGCAGTGGAGCAGTGCCGGTTTAAGCAAGCGCGTGGCCCGTAGCAAATTCTTTCTAACAATGATCTGGTTCTGATGAGTTCTTAAGTATAAAGGGGTAAAAAAAACAATCAATACTCTTACTTATCTAATAAGTTTCAGTCAAATAATTAAGGCTTAGGCAGAGATGAGTGGATTTAAATATACAGAGCCCCTATGCCGCGGGGACGTAGTAATTCCTACTCTTGCTACGTGGTTAAGCCGGCGCTGCAGTGGAGTGAATGTACCCGAGAAGATTCCAATCTACTATGCTATGCTACAGATTTTGTAAAGCCATATAGAAGAGTTAGAGATCAGTGTTATTATTTTTATTAATCTTAGAACTTCGATAGCATCTAATCACATTAGTGATTTTTATTCACATAGACGCTTGCGCGTTCTTATGAAACGTCAACATTTTACATCTTATCCTTTAAACGAGCAATTCTTGTATATATATATATATATATATATATATATATATATATATATATATATATAATCGGAATCTCGGAAACGGCCCCAGCGATTTTTATGAAATTTAGTTTGTGCGTAGATTCGGGGGTGAAAAATCGATCTAGCTAGGTTTCATTTTTAGAAAATGTCCTTTTATCCCTGTTTTCAGGGAATGACAAATATCATTTGAATATGACGGTAAATTTCGCCGCAAAAGAAAATGTCATAATAGCTCGGTCGGTAATCGGGCGGCCTTAAAACAGACGGCCGTGGTTCGTATCACGATCATTTACACACTCTTTTTTTTACCTTTTTTTTTCGATTCCAGATCATTGCTTTGTTTATTTTTAATTTTTTTGTCGGTCTATTATTTTGTTACTTTTTTCCCTTTTATTTTAAAGTTGATTCTTTTGTGAAAAACGCGACTTCATATTTTCTTATTATTAGGTCGGTAAGATCGAAAAATATTACGCATATTTCGTTACTCAGTAATTTGTATCTAAATGTAATTTCCAAAACACACGATTTACCAAAAAAAAAAAAAAAACAAGCTCGGTCCTCCAGGTACTAAAAATTAACACGTTCGTAAGCTACCAAATAAGGGCTTAGGGGGAACATGGTGAAATTCTTTTACAAAATGAAAGCCAGCTGTTTTTAATGTTTTTTTAAAACATTGCCTTAGCTTTGGAATAGCATTATCCTGTATTACAATACGTTTTATTGGACGTTTTACATACATCAATTTCACGAGGTCAAACAAGAAACTATGCGAAGAAACTATTAGTACAGTGTGGGAATCGCATCCGTACTATTATCTACAGAAACAGCAAAAAAAATCATTTCTGTTGTATCGGAGCCCCAATTAAATGTTTTTGTTTAACTATGGTGTGTCATCTAAGGGCCATCGAGGTCGCAGTTCGTACCGAAACCCCGATGGCCGTCGACTGTGCAATTAGCTAATCGGTGGCTGTGGGCGGTGAGAACCGCCCCGGAACGCGGGTGTACCTTGTTTACGTGTTGTGTTGGTCTCGCCATGCTCGGAGGCGAGGGCGAACTAGTGTGTTTGTTGTTACACTAACTGTGGGTGTAGTGTTTTCTGGCGGGACCCCCGGCGGTGGGTCCGGCGTATCTAAGTCCCCTTCCACGACCGGGTCGATTAGGACTTTTCGCGGGCGACGCTTGTTGACGTTCGCGTTTGTGTCGGATTGGTAATTTTCTGTGCTTACCACCAGAGGGTTGGGATGATGTTCTGCTCTATCGAAGAACTGTTTGATCTGGTCTTTAAAATATTCGCGAATCGTCGGGAGTCTGCAATCGCTGTGCAGGTCGATGTTGCGTTGATACCACTGCGCACCGGTTGCGCGGCGGATGAACTTATTTTGTATTATTTGCAACTTGTTACAAGCGAGTAGGGTGCGTGTGGGCGAAGGTCATGCATGCGTAAGACATAATAGGTCGTACGCAGGTGTAATATAATAATAATTTGTGCCTTAAGGGCATTTTACTTTTAGCGTTAGTGAAATTGTGTAGCCGGCCGGAGACGAACGCGGCTCTATTGCGAACGTTATTAATGTGCGTAGTAAATGACATACGCGAGTCGAAAGTCTAACAGTGATAGGGCCACGCAGCAGCCTCGGCTGTTGCATGAATGGGCAGGCCCATCCGGGTAAGTACCACGACCTCACAGAAGACCGGCGTCAAGTGGAAGTATGACAAATACTTTCGGGTTTCTTCTGGTGAGTGAGGTAGCCGGAACCCAAACTTCAAAAGGTTGTCAACACATCTGTAACCCTCGGGTGTAGCAGATGTCCATAGGTGGCGGTATTCACTTAACATCAGGTGAACCGTCTGCTCGTTTGACAACTTTTCGCATAAAAAAAAAATAAAAAAAAAGTGACTCCTAAGTATTTGACCTTTTTCGCCCAGGGGAGCGGTTGCATTGCATTGACGAGGGCCATTATAAAGATGTGACGGGTAAGTACTTCGTGTGAAGTGAATCGCCACACTCCTATCAGGATTTATTTCTATTCTCCATTTGCGGAACCAATCGCCGAGGCGGTCGGCAGCGCTTTGGAGTCGAGTGGTTAGTTGTCTTAGGTTGCGATCTGAATAAAAGAGCGCCGTGTCATCCCCGAAAAGCGCGAGATTGACGTGGGGGTCTTTAGGTATATCGCTCGTGTAGAGCGTAAAGAGCAAAGGTGAGAGGCAGGAGCCTTGTGGTACGCCGGCCGTGAGGCGGCGGCTTGTGGAGAGGGTGCTTTCAACTCGATATCGAAAAGAGCGGTTCGACAGGAAAGCCCGGATGGTGTGTACGAGCCTAGGTGTGTACGAGTGTGTACAGTTTGTAAAGCAAGCCGTTATGCCAGACCTTGTCGAATGCTTTTGCGACATCGAAGAAAAGAGCTCCTGAACTAATATGTTTAGGGTGATTTAGGCCTTTTAGGATATGTTCCGTTAGGCGGAATAGTTGACCGGAACAGGAATGACAAGCTCGGAAGCCGAATTGTTCCACCGGCAGAAGGCCGTTGGAAAACACGTGCTCATTGAGCCTGTTTAATAAAAGCCGCTCGTAGAGCTTCCCGCAGATTTGCGTCATCGAACGTAGCTGTCGTCTCGGGTAGGTCGAGTAAATCCTGGGGGTCCAAGGCCTTGAGTTTGACCTCAAGACGATGCCAGTCCACTACGGATTTGGTCGGAGGGACCGCGCTGGCCCAGT